GAGAGAAAAATCATTCACCTCTGACCTTTTCTTCTATTCAATTCAATTATTTTTACTTTTATTCCACTAGCTGGGCCCACGTCCTCATTGTAGGTTTGACAGCGTTTTAGTAGGTAAAGGTGAATGCTTGGACATGAATTGAGCTGCGTTTTGGGGGAGGCCTCGAAGGGGACTGGCGACAGCTCCTGGGCCTGACAGATCCCCATGTACTAAATAGGAGTGAAGAAGTTAAAGAATTGAGAACAAGGAGGGAGGGAGGGTGGGGCACGTAAACAAGAATGAACAGTTTGCAGAACTGGGGGGAACCTATATAGATGAAGGAGAAGGAGGCGTGGTCCCGCTTCTGAAATTCCGATACATAATCTCCAATTATATAGCGCAAAAGCATTGTAAAGTAAAGACCCTCCAATATTACAGGGAAACCCCAACAATCAGAGAACAGCCAATCAGTAAGCACTTGGCGAAAGTGGAAAGGAAGAAACCTCCAGCAGAACCAGGCTCAGGGCAGGATAGCCATTTGCGATGACTTGTTGGGATCGTGAATATTACATGGTTTTGAACCACACTGAATATCCATTAAATTAAAAAAATTAAATAAAGTAAAACAATATCAGAGTATAGTGCACGACCTAAATATGTAGTGGAAATGCAAATTGCTACAAAGAGCACGCCTCGCAACCCAGAGAATTGTCTTATTTCACACATTATGTGTTATTTGCACCTTTGATGGATGTCTGCACAATGTCTCCATAAACAAACGCGCAAAGAGACAGAGAGTGTTTAAGTGCATATGTCGCTGCCCACATTTCTGCCTGTAATGAATGAGAAACTGTTATGCATTGCATATGTCTAGATGATCTGTCATGTCTGTCATCCTCTGTTTCGCATTCATCACCTGGCATATCCTGATACTTTCTAGATTTGAGGAGAGATATGTTGCTAAGGCCCTTTGTCTTTATTTCCTGTTTAAATTGTTGTAATATGTTATAATAATAAAAAGCTTACTATAAAGGGCATATTTTGTGGACAAGCATTATTCATATTACAGGGTGCTGAATGTACGCCACCAGTAAAATGGATTGTACTCATTATGAGACCGCTATGAACAAAGAATCTTTGATTGAAAAGCTTTATTTCATGCTCAGTAGACTTGTAAATGAAGGGTCGCATGTAGTGAAAGGAGGAGGTTGTTGTGTGTGTGCTTCTTTTGTTTTAATACAGTGCTATGCAAAAGCCTTGAGCCACCCCCCATTTCTTTATATTTCGCTAGGAAAATTGGAAATGTGTACAAATGGGTGCAGGAAGTTATTGAAAAATGTGTAAACATAACTTGAAATACAGTACTTAAGGGAAAAACGGCATTTGCACAATTGTAACAAGCTTGAAAGTCAATATTTGGTGTGACCACCTTTATTCTTCAACACAGCTTTAAGTAATTTCTTTCTTCATTAGTCTTCAGGAATAGTTCTCCAGGCTTCTTGGTTTCCATTCAAAGATGAGCCCACGTTGGGCTCTTGGGAGGCTATGTTGTGTTTTTGACCAACAACATATGCCTTTTAATATTTTAGCAATTGTTGTGTTACAAAATGAAGTCATTTCACCAATGAGATTTTTTCCTCATAGTATTGCATGGTGGATCGAAGTTTGATGGTACTTTTCTGAGTTCATAATTCCATTCCATCAATTCCACCATGACATGATGATGTAGACATTCACTGTTGTACCTCACTGCTGATCTCCTGTGCACATACCAATGACCATTTGAACCAAAAAATTTATCTTGGATTCATTACTGTCACTGATTTTCAGTCAAATGTAATTTGACAGCCTCCCTTCCAATGATGAACTTCGGTCAACAGTAGAAAGATCAACTGATGGGCCAGCTGCTTTTTTCAGTTCGTGTGTCAGGTCAAGGATTTATTCCTGTTTCATAAGGACGTGACTTACAGATGCTGTTCATTTGCTGAAATGTTTTTTCTTAGGCCTGGCACACCTTTTGTCCAACACTTGTCCAGTTTCCTCAGATTTTTTTAAAGTCATACTGCACACATGCTGAGATATAAGTTTTGGCTAACAGCGGTTTAAGACTCAACTTGTTGGTTGAAAAAATGCTTGGACTGTGTTGTCTTTGACATTTTTCATAGATTCTTTTGAAGAAATGGAAACAAATGATGTGTTTTTGCAATACAATTTAAAACTGTTTCTTTCCTAAGTTTTCTGTTATGTGTAGACACAACACTGGTTAATCCCTTGATTTAGTTACCTTTTTTATGCTTGAATGATTCACAGTTCAGTGTTAAGTGGTTTGGTCAGGTATAAGGACTGGATTGAAAATGAGTGAAAATGTCCAAAGAAAAACTTGAAACACCCCTAGAAAGCCTGAAGAACTACACAACAGTGTGTGTGTGGCAAGAGGCGGTGATGGGATGTCATGAATCACAGTGTGTAGGGTAGTACTTACTGTTTACTAAAATTAGGAGAGGCTCTGATGTCATAAGTAATAGGCCATCATACTGTGAAACTTTCTCTTTACTGCCAGCTGCTCTCGATTTTTTTTTTTAAGCAATGCAGCATTTATGTTAAATTCACCACCGAATTTTGAAAAATCAGTATTTAGGCATTAAAATATACAACTGCAGATCTGTTTAGCTTAGCACAGTCCTCAACATAAAGCTTAAGTGCATATATGCCCAGCTTTCTGCTGACCTGGTCTGATCTGTGGTGTTTGAGAAAGGTGCGTAGCTTGAGTTTTAGCGGGGAAAGCAGGAGTGTAACAGAGGTCAGTGCTGGCTGCGTGCCAGAGTCAGTATCTTACATAAACTACCACTGAGAGGAATGTGTCTGGGGCACACTTCACAGGAAAGGCACACATGTGCTAACACAAAAACCTGCTAGAGGTGTATTGTTTCTTTTTGCCTTTGCTCTGTATAGTGCTGATTTTCAGTGAATGCAGTCCCAGCAACAAAGCACTATTCTAAAGACACACAATGAAGTCTCTCTGTTAACTCTTTCCATGATTATTACTATGGGGTTTTTTTTTAAAATCTGCAAGTCAAGAGAAGACACACAGGTGTAGGAGGACATGAAGCATGGAGGCTTAAAATATGTGGGTTTCTCTATCCTCTTACCAATGGAAAGACAATAAAAAGCCATTGATGCTACGTCAGTCCCATTTTCTGTCAGCTGGTTGTGACATTATCCTTGAATCAGTCCAGTCGCTTCCTACAGAGAGGTGACGTGATACCGCTCAGGCCTGACTTCAAACCGTGGCTGAAATCAATATTACAGGAGCTGTTTAAACCTGCAGGAGCTATTTAGTTGTTTTCTCTTTGCTTTTCTGCAGTCCTGTGTGTGTGCTGTCACAGCTGGTCGTTCTGTCCTCATATTCTTCTCTATGCTTTCACAAATCCGACTTGGCTTCTCTATTCCTGTGATGTCATACTGCACATTTAAAAGATAGCCTGTTTCTTGTTTCTTCATATCTTCAGCTTATAACTCACCAACAACTTAGGAGACGCAATCACAGGTTTAATGGCACTCGTGTTGAAATATATCTACATTACAGCATGTCACTCAGTGTCTGAATTGTGCTATCAAGCCATCACTTTTTTTAGAGTAATATTAAGTCACTACCTCCTGCTGGAGATATTGGCTTGTACTTGTCACGACTGACTTTTATTGAAGGGAATTTGGCATGATTCAGCACTCAGTAGACTGGCCTCTCTGATTAGTTGGTTTCTGTTGGTAGTCAGTATGATAAAGTGCTTATATTAGAAATGCCAAAGCAGCACCGTGTTTGTGCAAAGTTGTTACTATATATTTCTTTTTTTGACCCCCTAGGCTCTGTTTATCAGAACTTAGCCCCCCAAACGGCGTCTTATTGAAGCATTTTATGCAAAGCAGGACTGTTATTTTTCAGCGCCATCCTGGATGTGATAGTCTGTGCCCTCAGTTCTAATAGCATTATCACGCCTTGAGTCAGTTGTAGTTCAGGTGATAGCGGTGATTTATGTGGTGGCGGGACTTAAGATAATGAACTGCATCGGTTACATTTCTTATGTGTTTGTGTGAGAGAGATGACTAAGAGCTACGTGAGGAATATCTGATGACATCACTAGCAAACTGAAAGTGCAGGCAGAGCCCCCTCCCTACCCGCCAGCTCCTTACTCATATATTCACCAGCCTGAAATGTCAATATCATCATGGCTGATGTATATTTTCTTTTACTAACTATGGCATGATTGCGTTCAGCTATGCATTATTGCCCTTTTCAGTCCTCATAATGAAATTTCCTGAAGAATAAATATGCTTATCAGTTATCACCAAATACCAAAATACTGCCTTCAGTAAACGTGCTGTTTTCATGTGAAGGAGAAAGAGAGACTGAGGGTGTGTGTGTGTGTGTGTGTGTGTGTGTGTGTACATAAATGCTCCATCTTCCTGGTATTAACCATGTGCCATCTGTTGAGGAGGCGAGGCAAAGGGGATGACATTTCAGCAACATAGTGTAACACACTGACTATTGTGGGAATTCCTGAGTAAACCTAAGTAGGCTGAACATTCAGTGCTAAAGCAATGGACTATTTCAAAAATAATGCAAATGTAATAGCTTGCAAGATACAAGAAGCAGATAGTTAAAACAGAGATTTTCTTGGCAACTAGTTAGATCTGCAGCCAGTCTTAACTTCCTCAGAATTGCTACTAGTAACAACATCAACCTTAACTCTAACCAGTTCCATAGAGCCACTTCTGCTGTGTCTGTGGTCATTGATATGAACAAAGTTACAAAAAGCATTATAATGTACATTTATGTTGTTTTTTGCGCGCTGTGCTATAAAGTGGGTTACCTTATTTAAGTGTTTCGTCTTTTTTGGTGTGCTGCAGGGTCATGTATTCTCTACGTGGGTGTAAAGGTTGAATGAACTTGGTCTAATTGCTGTCTCTGCGTTAAATATTTTGATTTTAAATATTCTATTCTGCTTATTTTTTCTGTGTTTCAGGGTTTCATCGTAATGAGGATATGAAGGCCATTGATGTGCTTCCAATCCTCAAGGAGAAGGTTGCCTTTCTCTCAGGTCAGTGTCATTTTTATGTGCTGTAATTGTAAATATCTGTTTCAACTTTAAGCTCACTGAAACTTCCATCCATCCTTTTTCAGTGAAGAAGTCAGTCTAGTTACTTCTGACATTCAGCAAAATTGTGCTCTTATTTTAAGGAGCCATTGTATCACTATATTGCTGTAGAGTCCTTACAGTGCTCTATGTTTGGTGTCATTCCCTGTATTTTAGTGTTTGCAAGGCAGGCTGGAGTAAAGCCACTTTAGCATTTAGACAAACCTGAGAATATGCTTTGCTCTAATTCTACTTTCTTAGACTGTCAGCCATTTAGAAAATCCCTTTGTTTCTATCAAATAATGTATTCTGTGAAACCTGTCAAACATTTTTTGCTCATCCGGCTTAAAGACCAGTGAGCTTAGTCCATGGTGAGTTTTCTGCCCAACCGAGAATTGATACTTCCCCCTGAGTATTGGTCGTTGTTTAGTGAATCTCGCCGATTCTTGCAGCCAGATGACCTAAATTATCGCATTTATTGTCTAGTTTAATATCTTAATCTGTTTCCTCGGTATCTCTCATTTTCTTCCAAATCATGTTATTTTTCTGATTTATATTTCTGTGGTTGACCTTTCTCATTAATCTGTATTAATTAACATAAACCATTATCCACAATATTAAATATAATTTCCTCATCAGAGTTTTATAGGAGTACACTTTTCTAATCACATGGATACTTTTTGATGTCTCATTTTTTGTCACCTGCTTCTTCTCTCGCTTGTGTAGGCTAGGTCACTTATCCAAATAGCTACTGTGATGACACCAAACTCATAGTTTATCTAGATTAACCAATCTTGAAAGCTTCAAAAAATGTTGCATATGATCACTGACGCCTCATCATTTTCACTTGGCTTAAGCTAACTATACAGATGCTGCCTATGTTGCTAGCCTACTAGCTAGTCATGAGTTCGGTTAGACACTTTCCCTATTCACATTTCTAATCTATTTATTTAGTGAAACATGCACAACTGAAACTCTAGGAACCAAAACTTGAGCAGTATTTTCTGTAGTACTTTAAGCCAACTATGTAGTGTGCTTATCTGCAGCAGGAGTCTCTATCTTTTTGACTGTATTATAAACCATTAGGGGCTAATTGTCTAATTTTGTGGCAGGTGTTCAATTTGCTAGCTTAATAGGTTGATAACATGGGCACATTTTTGGCTTTAAAGGTGAGAGGTCAGTGACATCAAGTGTGAAATTTTCACATGGAAATGGAGACTGGTCTTGGGTATAGTTGTTGGCTCCCCTGTTGCATTTGGTATGTGTAGCTAATTTATTAGCATTCACTTATTTCTCTGAACTGTGAATTTGACACAGCATGGTTTTGATCTGACTTTTACATCATTTGTGTTAACTGTATTGGCATAGTTGTGAGTAATTTAAGATGTTTTTTTTCTGTCAGATTAGTAGTTGGTGTGGTTTGTTATAGCTCTGTGACTGGAACTCCATTACCACTCTTGTAACTGTGATTTGACCTGTCTTTCTATCTGAACCAGCTATCTCTACTCACTAGTTATCTCTGACAATTGTAAAAAGAAAATATCTTCATAATTTAAATAGGTTTTCTTTGTGTCATTGTATTTCTATGCGAAGGTGGCAGAGACAGACGTGGAGGTCCGATTCTCACCTTTCCAGCACGGAGCAACCATGACAGAATACGACCCGAAGACCTGCGCAGGCTCATAGCATACTTGGCCACAATCCCAAGGTAAGGATAGTGGAACACACACCCAACTATGGACGTGCGTAGACGCTCAAATATAACCTCTGCTATAGCTTGCTATTGATGTTTCCCACGTGACATCGAGAGTTGTTTGCAATAACTGGACATGATACAACTGACAACTGCTAGATGAAAATGTGTGTTCCCCAACTGGTTTGCAGTGGTTTCTGGAGGCTGTTACTGGGTAAAATTAGTTTTAAAGAAGATGCTGCTCCAGAAACCTTTTGGTGATTGCTTTGGTTTTTAGCAGGTTGCCTGTAGTTGCCTGTAGGTGAGCAGTAGTACTTTTCACAGTTTTGCTACAGCTTAGAGAGTAGCCAGCCAATCTTTGTAGACAAGTCCATCAGCTCCATTCAGTCTACCACCATGGCAATACGCTAACAACCAATGTAGTCACAAGGACATTTTGGGGGAATGCACTTTTCTCCCAGCCAAAAGGTAGCTGCCAGGGGGTCGCTGACTGGCTTAAGTAAAGCTCTCAGCGACTTCCATCAACCTGCACTTACAACTCGCTCAGGAAATACTCATCTTTCCTTCATGACCATTGATTGCCAGATGGTTGTGCGCTCTAGGCCTGTATGACTGGGACCTTATTCACTTGATCCTACATTGTCACCATGATTGTCCCACATCCAAAATGTCAAACAAGTTAACATCAGATGGTTAGCGGTCATGTATCCACAAAGCCTGAAGACAGACAAAGTATACTCATTGTTTGGTTTGTGTTTGACTTTCCCACCTTTCTTAATTTAAAAAAAAAAAAACTGGGCTGTTTTTATTTTGGATTCTCTGTAAAGTGTCTAAGGGTGTATTGCCAATTGTTGACCCCCCACCTCACCTCTCATTCCTGCATTTGATGTGTTGTCATGCTAGACTAGAGTCTGCTGCACACTCAAAACGTGTTGCCACAGGAAGCATTTCCAAAGTTGCTCCCTGTAGTTGCGTGCAGGCTGATCTTCAAATCTAGAAGCACTTTTAATACGTAGCTCCGGGCGTTTACCTGTTTGGAGTCAGTTGTCATTAGCTTAGAGGGAAGTTTGCACTTTTCTTCTCTGCTGCGTCTGATCTCCCCTGTGCTATGCTTACTAGTGCTTTGCAGGTTGACTGCTTTAAAGTCTTTTTCACGGTGGAGTTTGGAGATTTGTCTTGAGGCAAGAAGTGGTCCAGATCAGTTACTGAAAAAAAAGATGGAGTGCAGATTCACTGATCTTTTAGTTCATCTGTGGGATGTCAGAGGCTGAATGAGGCATTTTCAGTTCCTGCATAAATTTCAGTAGCAGCAGCAGAATCAAGTTTAACTGTTGGGTTCACAGTTTTACTTTGTTTACTCCCTATAGATTATGTGCGTAGTTATCATCCCACAGAATATATTCTCAGATCAAATGCCTTAAAACCCAAAAAGAGGGTGAATGAAGTCTAAATTATGCACGCAAGGAGTTTATGTTTTATGTCAAAGTGCCTGTTATTTTAAGTTTGGAGAGCAGTCTGTGTTGGATAAAAAGTTTATGTTAAAATCATTAGCTGAAGGCAGATCATTTTGCCAATCTGATCTCTTTATTAAAAGTGTTGCAATAATTTTCTCTAAAGTATTTTTTAGGGCTGAGAGGTAAAAAAAACAAGTATCTACCTCTAACTAAAGCCGTAGAAGCCGATACAGCTGGTGTGCAAAGACTTACAGGCTTCCAAACTGCTCAGCTCTTCAGAAAGAGGTAAGACTGGAGAGGATAAAAGATTAGTCAGAGGTGGCCAGTCATCCAGTCGGAAGGCCGAGGAGTGTCATAAGTCAGGAGGAGGCCAGCTTCTTTTCCTCAGCTTAATTTCTCTTCCTCCTGTCTAAATATTTCTGCTGCCTTACCCCCTTTTTTTTCTTTACCCTCCTTCCAGTCTCAGTATCTCTCTTTCTCACTCGCTCTCCTCTCTATCGGCTCTGCTCTGTTTTTTTTTTCTCTATCCATTTGGCTGCCGATCTGTTTTCATAGAGTGTGGTCAGAGTGAGATAGAGCAGGAGGCCCTGCGTCTATTTCTGTGTCCTAGCTACACATTCAGATTAAAGCCTTTAATACTGAGAAACAACCTTTTATGGAAGTGTACGGCAGCAGGACTCCTGGTAAGCGGCGGTGGAAACTTCAACGCTTGAATGTTTTAACTGTTTTCTTTCCTCTCCAGATGCTGTGGAGATTGGATACTTCAGTTACAGCAGTTCCTTTAGAAAAGGCTGTGTAATGTTATGTTACGACTCGAGGCAGTGACGTCAAATTTTGTCCTTTCGTTGCCAGCAAGTTTTTTTTTCTCTAACCTGGCTTTAATGGTTCTATGTTAGCATTATAAATGTTAAACGTACTGCATCTTTTTCTTTGTGAATTAGCCCTTTATCCTGGGATATGACCTCTTTTATTTATTTCCTTTTTTTCTGCAGTGAGGAGGTGGCCAGACATGGCTTCACAGTCATTGTGGACATGCGTGGTTCTAAGTGGGACAGCATCAAACCTCTGCTAAAGATCCTTCAGGAATCGTTCCCTTCTTGTATTCACGTTGCTCTTATCATCAAGCCAGACAACTTCTGGCAGAAGCAGAGGACCAACTTTGGCAGCTCCAAGTTTGAATTTGAGGTAGGCGATGCTCGAACGCGCTTTAAATAGTTCAACATAAAAAGGTAATCATTTTAACCCCTCCACCTTGTTTTTTTTGTAATTTTTGGTTTTTGGTTTGATTTTCTTCTCTTTTCGATAATGATTAATGCATTTTGTTTTGTTGTCTCGTCATGTCAGTGTACCGTATGCTCAGATGAGCAAATTGTTGTAAACTGTTAGTTAGTTTTGCATACCCACTGGCCTTTTTTACCAGCTCTAATTGGACTGTGCTTTGTGTCAGTGGCACGATTCTGTCCCGTGTGGGCATGTTGAGGTGGTATATTTAGTTCTGACCCAGTTACTATGGAAACAGGATATATAGGACATGGCAAAGAGTTTATTCCTAACTTTAGTGCATTTGGCTTTGGACAAGCAACTTGTTGTATTTTTGTTGTTTTTTTTCTTTTTGTGTATGACGTCAAACGTACTATTTTTGGGTGCACATCAAGTGCCGTAGAGTTTTACTTATCAGGCAGATCACAGTGATAGAAGCATTCGTATGAGAGATAACTCAGTCTTTCTTGTCACCTCACCACACCCATTCTAACAGTGGGTGTACAGTGCTTACTGATTGCACATTATCTTTAGAGTCAAGTTTTTACAGTAAGAAATATTTTAGAAACTTAACAGTTGACTAGTCTGGAATATGGTGGTGATTATATTAGTGTAAACTGTGCTTATTTTTCCTCTTTCGCCCTTTCATCTATTTGTAATTCTTTTTTATTTTCTTGTGTGTCCCAAATCTGCCTTCCCGCACCAGACGGTGATGGTCTCCTTAGAGGGTTTAACCAAGATTGTGGACCCTTCCCAGCTGACAGCCGACTTCGAGGGCAGCCTAGAATACAACCATGATGAATGGATTGAGGTTTTGATTCTTTTCTTTTGTTTACATCTGTTCCTTCATAAGATGGTTTTTAATTTAAATCTTTTGTGCGCTTACTTAAGAAAACATCAGTCAAAGACCAGTCTTATTTCAGATCTTTTTAAAAATTCAATTCCGTATCCTCATTGGGGAAAAAAAGTTGACTTTTAACTTTCCTTTCAGGTGCGGCTCTCTTATGAGACGTTTGCCAGTGATGCAGCGCGGGCTTTATCACGCCTTGAAGAACTCCAGGAAACCTTGTCCCAGCGTGATCTCCCACGGGATCTGGAAGGGGCTCGGCGGTTAATGGAAGAACATGCTGCACTGAAGAAAAGGGCCACCAAAGCATCGGTAGAGGAGCTCGACGCACAGGGACGGAGGCTGCTCCAAAGGCTACAGTCACAGACTGCAGGGGTTGGGAGTGTTGGAGCTAGCGGAGATTCTAACGACCACCATCACGGGTTTCACGTGCACGCGGACGCGCACAATCTGGTGGCTAAAGTGACGGGTGTGTTGGATAAGCTGCACGGGATGCGGCAGAATCTGCAGCAGTTGTGGCACATGAGGAAACTGAAGCTGGACCAGTGTTTCCAACTGCGGCTGTTTGAGCAAGATGCTGAGAAGGTCAGAGAACTAATCATTCTAATCACAAATGAACTAATCACAAAGTTAATTGTGTTGTCAGTTCTGCAGTATGCCTGATGTTAAATATGCCACTACAGCGGTTTAACTTTTTGGACATGCAGTCATTCCTGACTAATCTTTTGCATGAGCATACTTACCAATTCTATTCAGGCATAAAAGAATATAACATGATCATCATCATTACCATGTAAGCCAGATAATTGAGGCTCAATATGGTTGTAAAGGTTTAATAAAGCTGACTGATGGCAGGTGTTGAATATTAATTTTCTTTTCCTTCTAAATGAATGGATGACATAATACGTCATCTTTACACTTACAGTGGAAATTGCTTATATTCTTTAAATATATATTTAGATTTCTGGTTGCCCATTGAGTTTACAAGCTTTTAAATGCCCTTTGGAAATATATAATTGAGTTTTTCATATTCTAAGTAATGTGTGAGTGTCTGCTAATGGAAACTGTAGCCCTATACACTTTTCAGGGTTTTTGGCAAGTACCTTTATTTAACAGACATTTGTCATATTCTTACCTCAATAGAGGGTGAACAACAGCGGTCTTTTAGTTTTTTAGTTTTCCTATCAGAGGAGCTTGGAAATGACCTTTGCCTTCTTCAGCGGTTGTGGTTAATTAGCAATCAACAAGGCCTCTCACTCCTGCTGCTATGAGTTACCACAAGATGGGCAGCTTTTCATTTGATGTGCTTTTTGTAAAGCTAACTGTGTTTTCTCCACCTACTCTCTGTAGATGTTTGATTGGATAATGCACAACAAGGGGCTTTTCCTGACCAGTTACACAGAGATCGGAGGGAACCACCAGCATGCTGTGGAGTTGCAGACGCAGCACAACCACTTCGCTATGAACTGCATGGTAAGACCCTATCGTTAGCTGTCACGCACATACAAATGCACAGAAACAGGTAATGCAATCGTAAACTGCCGTCATTCCTCTCATCCACACTAAATGCTTTTTTCCCCCACCCTTCATCCCAAACCACCCTCTCCCTATATGGGGAAACTGATGTCTTCTGTCTTGCCATGCTCTTTTTCTCATATTCATCTTTTTTTTACTCTGCTTCAACTCTGCCCCAGTTTGTCATGTCTTGTCATGGTGCTGTTCCCATAATTGACCCGCATTGCCTTTGTGCCCCTCCCACCGCTGTGTGCTGCCCTTTGCTGCTCTGCTCCACCCTCCTCCCTGCGACATCATAGCTCACTCTAGTCCTTAGAGCTCTGCTGTTGGCTAATAAATTTAGCTGAGGATATAGTATTGTGTCACTGCACCCACCACACTATGCACTCTGCCCTAACTTTGTTTTCCTTTGTCATAGTTTGACTGGTAAGCTTTGCAAGGTTTCTGTTTCATCCTTTTTGTCAATCCTTTGCAGTGCACTTTCTTCTTACATCCCTCATAACTTATAATGGTGTGTTATTCCTGCTTGTCATATATCATCAAGCAAGTAAACCAAGCTTGTTCCAGGCTTCGTGGGATGCATTTAAATTAGTAGATTTATTTTAGACTAAAAACAGCTTCAAAATAATCTGAGAAACAATAAGGATGTAGCCCACTACCTCTGATTTGAACAGCAAACTAGCCTGCCATTTTTCCGTGCTACTTTCTAAAAGTAATTATTTTTAGTGCAAAAGTGAAACCAATGGAGAGCAGGGCAACTGGCCTAAATCTTCTTATAGAGTCACTGGTGTTACAGATCATTTGCAACATTCAGCCCAGAGAGGGCGGTTTCAGTGACCTCCCACAGCCGGATGTTTCAACTGTACTGGCTGAGGTGAGCCAAAAAGCAACTGAGACAGCTGAGAAGACAGATAGACCTACACTGTATACTCAGGCCCATATTGACAGGGTAGACCAGTGGTAGGCAACGCCAGGCCTCGAGTGCCGGTGTCCTGCAGGTTTTAGATCTCACCCTGGGTCAACACACCTGAATCAAATGATTAGTTCATTACCAGCCCCCTGGAGAACTTCAAGACATGTTGAGGAGGTAATTTAGCCATTTAAATCAGCTGTGATGGATCAAGGACACATCTAAAACCTGCAGGACACCGGCACTCGAGGCCTGGAGTTGCCTACCCCTGGGGTAGACAAACATATACAAACATGCATACAGATGGTTTAACAGTGAAAGACCACCGCCCCCTCCACCTATTCTTCCACAGGAAGCGGTGTTTCCCCTTCCTGTTGCCTGCACAGCACAATGGAAACACACAGTGTCAGTAGGTGTGTTTATACTGCCTGTTCTCCTGTTTGTGTGTCCGCGTTCTCCGACTGTGTCAACATTGTAGCAAGAGTAAAACCAAGGTGAAACAACGCAATTACTCGTTTGCCAGTTTCCAGCGACTAAACAAAAAAAAAACCCACCAGCATGTGTTTACTGTATTGTGTCAGGCAGTCATCAGTGATGGGAGTGTCATGTGTAAGTGAAGGTTTGGACCAAATGCTGATGGTGACTCTTTGTTGTTATGTGAGAGATAATGTGTCACGTTGCAAAATACAACCCCTAGGGTTATGATACTGTTACTCCCCCTATGGGAGGTACTTAAAAATTCACTTTAGGAGTCAAGGAGCTTTTTTTTAAACACTTTTAATAGAGCCGTCATTTTACACATGTAGCATATGATGCCTTTTTTCCCAACTACTACAGGTTTTAAAACTAATATCACAAAATGAATTCAGAGAGTTCAGATTGTTTGGCTTGTTTTGTTAACTAACACAGTTTTGCTGAAGATTTTAACAGTTTGATGATGCGACACATTCAGATGTTTGATGTAGATGCCAAAGAAGCAAGTCAACAGTAATGATCTCAAAGAAGCAATTGTTGCTAACCATCAATCGTTAGGACATTTCCAAACTTATTCTGTAATTCTACAATTTTCACAATTGGGAAAAAAATCAAGACAGTTGAAAGTTTTGCAAGGAGTGGACATCCCAACAAATTAAGCTAAAGGTCATAGAAATGCTAAGAGAAACTAAAAATCCAACTACAAGAATCCACGGGCCTCAGGTGACGGAGGGGATGGTGGGATTGTGTTGAAGCCACAGGACTTGGGTATCTTGTAATGATTAAATTTAATAAGCATTGCTAGTAGATTTGTTCGAACTGTCATGCGTGGAGTCGAAATGTTTCTAGTCATATTTGTTGAGAAGGAAACACATGATGTATGTTATGCAGCAAATATAACAACTGTCCAAAAAATATTGCAATATAAGCCCGAAATCAGACTGTAGAAATGCCATGATCTGTACAAGCAGTCGTTTTGTATATTTGCTGCAGTCTCAGAGAAAGGTACGTGCACACCTCCAAGAAAATGTGCTATTGCAGCCTTTACCATCCATGCTGACTTTGCGCAGATAGAAGTAGCACTCTGTCATGATATCCTGCATTAAAGATAAATGAAGCTGTTACGTTTGAGCATAATGTTTGATACCCATAACATTCATATACACACGCACACATAGAGATACAGGGAAAGAGCTTTCTTACATCAAGTACTTCATAATTAAGTACAAAGAATGTTCTTCCAGAGAGGCAGGCAGGGTAAGCATCACTGGAAACATCATATGCTGCTGTGGAAACGTTTCTTAAATTATCTGTAAATACAGAGACAGGTTTTTTCAAAAAAGTACACTTTCAAATAAATATATATTTATATATCTAAGAAACTGTTTGCTCAAGGATTTAGACTGGACATAATTTTGTGTTTTTTGCACTCTGTTGTGATGAAGTTGTGCTGAATTTCGAAGATGTTAATGCTGATTTTGTGTTTATTGACTACGTGCCTAGTTGATTCGCCAACTCATTGTTTTTTCCGCGTAGCTTGTTGTTTTCTTCAGTCAACTTCACCTGATGCCCAGCTAAAGTGGCACCTATTATGAAAGGAATGATACGTTTATGAGTTCATGTACAACTGAAGCTCACATACAGACGTAATTCTTTACAAAGGACAGCAATGCAAAGAAGATTTATTCCACGCTCATGGTCCTATGGACAGTTAAAGTAACATGACTAAGTGATAAATGAGCTAATATATTCACTGAAGATGAGGATAAAACTTTCAGTCATTGTAAGTATCACTATTTTTAAATGTAGTCTGTTAGATCTGGTGTAGTGGCTTAAAAATGTCTTCCATACATCAGTGCGTAGATCAGTGTATACACATGGTGATAACATTATGATTTCACGAAAGTGAAGTTCACACTCACAAGCGATGCTCACACAGATGAGTACGCTGATTAACAGAATACACAGAACCACCAGACACACCGTAACATGCCTGAAAAAAACTAATGAGAAAATAATGTTAATAGTTTTGTGTGTTTGTATTTAATGTGTTTGTATCGTCTGAATTTGAATATTTGTCTTACCTAACTCAGGAGGTTGCTTTCTTCCATTGTTGGAATTGAACGCTGGCCATCTGATAGTCATGTACCTAAGAGAGGGGGGGCGGTTGGTGGCTGCGCTTTGGTTTCCGATGTTTGGCAGTGTTGCGTTTGTCGCAGCTCTCTGATTTTTCAGCTCCTCTCTGTTCTTACCATTGAACACAGGGTTTGGTTGCTGTTCTCTTGAGTCCCTCGTTGCGTTGTAATCTATACCGAGTGTGTCTGCAACTTCATAAGTATTGTCGTCTTCTGACCACAGGTCAGCCTCCATTGTCATGTAATCTTCGTTTTCTGCTGCCGGCTCCGCCATTGCTGAGTGGTGTCTTTGGTTGTTAGTGACTGTGTGATGTGTTTTTCTAAAATGCCTTACAGATTTTTATGGATGCAAATGACTTGGTAGGAGGGGCCAATGTAAAAAGGTTTCACTGGAAGCATCGGGCAGCTACTTTTTACATCTGGAATATAACAGCATATATTATATAAAAATGTAAAAAAAGAAAAGAAGAATGAATGTTTACAAAAAAAGAATCTGAATTCCAAAGGATTCGGGAGGGATTTTGATACTGTATCTTGTTCAGTGGACTAAAAAATGGAAAACCCAGAAAAATTCCTAAAGGCAAATAAATGATTTGCCTTTAGTTTGTATACAAAGAGATGGTTCACAGAGATTAGGAGTAGTTCCTGTGAAAACTGGAAAGCAGGAGCACAGGGTGTTGGGAAAGTGAACTGTGAGATAACCCAGTTATTCAAAACTGGGTTTACATTGTTTGAGTAAAGGAATCTTACAAATGACTCTTTGGGTTTATTAGTGTTTCATGTTACAAAGCCAGTCATCTCCATACAGCTACCTTGCTGACTGAATTAGGATCCTGTCCAATATGACTGGTTTGTTCATTCATACTGTTCATGGTTAGCATAAATTCACACGTCCTGCAAAGTTACATTTATATTAACCTATAGCTAGCTGAAGAATTGCACATTGTAGAGATATTTTTATATTGCTTGACATCCCTATATTACCCATGAATTTTTCACTTCAGTAAATATTGTAACTAAAGCAGCGAGTCTGGTTACTGGTCATTTTAGAAACAGGAAGTATTTAAAGCTTTAAGGTTTTGGGAGTTTTTACTGTTTCTTGTGCTTCCTTTACAGGATAGACACTGTCTATTTCTACAGATTGATTCATTTCTGGGACCTGTCCTCTTTTCCATTTTCCGTATTTCTGTCTGTTTTCTCTCCCACAGCCACTCTCATTCCCTATGGCACCATCAGTTTTAAATTAAGAAGACTTTTTAAATTTATATTCTCCCAACTCCTCCTCCCTTCTCTCCTTCAGCCATCAGTTTTAGATTACCACCCGAAGTAGTCCAACATGTCTGCATTTCCTCTCTTCCCCTGAATGATTGTGTGATTTGGAGGTCCCCCCCAAAATCCCAATAGTCCCTAATACCACATAAAACCTCAGAGACAGTTCTTCCTGTGACATTTGATGTGTAAGATTTATTATGGGATTATAGTAGTTCTAGTCCTAACCGCCATGCTTTTATTTATGACAACTTAACTTCTGCTGTGTATTCAAAAGCTGAACTCGTGTTAGCCGTGCTGTTTAGCTCACCACTGTCGCTCTTATCCTTGAACCAACATCAGATTGTATCGAGCACGTTTCAGTGTTGATTCTGCACAGTATGGATTGTTCTTCTACAGTACACGCAAATGCAGAGCTGTTTAAAATCTCTCTAAACCCTAATATAAAAACAGACAAACTCAAAGCTTCCTGAGTTGAACAAAGTAAATCCAGTGTCCACAGCTTTGATGAAAACTGCTTTAAGGGTCGTAGCTGGTGTTTGGTTCATCTTTCCTTCCCATTGTGATTGAAACAAGCTAGCTAAGAGCCATAATAGGCTCCAGGAGCAGTAATTGAATAGAATAATAACACGCTGTTAACACAGTTGTTAATTAGCGTTTGCTGATCCATGCCTATCTACACAAAACAGCTTGGGGCCCATATATTAAAAAAGACTGAAAGATTAAGAGGCAAATGGGCTTTTTTATTATTCACATGGGGGTATGTCTCCCGTGTGTGTGTGTGTGTGTGTGTGTGTGTGTGTGTGTGTGTGTGTGTGTGTGTGTGTGTGTGTGTGTGTGTGGTGGTGGTGAATATTTGGACTGAAGATGTCCAAATATTAACGATAAGAGCACTCTTTATGTAAATGTAGCTTTTCTTTTCTTTTGTATAGAACTGAAATTAATTAAAAGAGTAAAACCATATTAAATAATTTTTAATATGTTTTGGGTTTTTTTTTCTCTGTATCTGTTTCTCTCTGAAAAACAGAATGTGTATGTGAACATCAATCGAATCATGTCTGTTGGAAATCGGCTCCTGGAGTCCAGCCACTATGCCTCTCAGCAGATCCAGCAGATCTCAAGCCAGCTGGAGCAAGAGTGGAAGGCCTTTGCTGCAGCACTGGACGAACGCAGCACCTTGCTGGAGATGTCTGCCAGCTTCCACCAGAAAGCAGATCAGGTACTGGGATGCAAAAAATTAATTACACTTCTGATATTATAGTAATACATGTGTGCATAATAGATGCACATTTCTTCTTTTCTATATGTGCAAAAAGACTTTTTTTGGCAGACGTAAATGCGCTGTTGGCAGCTCTGCTTGAAAGCATCAGAATATCTGCATGTATTTATAAAGTTGTGAGTTCTTACATTCATTTAGTACATGCTGTGCAAACAATAATTGGAGCATGCAGCATATGATCTGTTATGTAATGATGTGTTTTTGTCATCTAAACCATATTACAGCTTTGTGTAATTTTCTACTCTTACTTGTACTCTTACTTATACATTTAGATTAAAAAAAAACTTTCCAATTTAAAGCCCCTGAGGTTACTGTGGAACCTTGCCAATGAGAGACCATTTAAATGATCAATACTACTTTAAACTGTTTTGCTTACGGATGCAGTAGCAGAACATTAGTTGTTGACAACTGTTGTTTGCTGAGTGGCTCTTTTTCTGTGTGGTCTTTCATGCCCAAGACTTCCTTGTAAGTGACATATAAGATCAAAATCCATCAGTTGTTCACAGTTTTGTGAATAAATACCATCACTCTGTCTTTCTTTTTCCAAGTGATGTCTTACTTTTCTCTTTTTGACTGTGTTGGTCCTCCCATAGAAATTCTCATATGCACCACCATCTGGATAGAAAACTTCAGGGTTATTATTTGTGTGCAAAAATGACTTTCGAAGACATATTAAAGCTATTGTAATCTTTAACTGACCTGCTTGTTCGGTCTTAATAGCATTTGTATGATGCTGTACTTGTGTTTCTATACAAATACTGTATATCTGTCTTTTTTCGCAGTACATGAGTAAAGTGGAGCCGTGGTGTAAGGCATGTGGTGAGGGAGAGCTGCCCTCTGAACTCCAGGATCTGGAAGACACAATCCATCATCACCAGGGGCTGTATGAGCACATCACCACAGCATACTCTGAGGTCAGTAGAAACAGGCACATTTGCGGAGACAGTGCGTCCGAACCATAAGTGCGCGACACAAATAAGCATGCAAACACACAGAGTATACAAATATATATACAAATATCATTGTGACTCTATGGAATACAAACAATAGATGTGATGATTATGCAAATCGTGCATTCAAAATATTCACACATGCCTTCAGCAACAATGGAAACTTTCTCCATCGATACATCTCTTTGGGTTTTAGTTAGTTTCACAACTTAAAATAAAGCAAATAACACAAATTAAACAATGTTTGAAATTTAGTTTGAAATTGGTAGATTCACTGCCTCCAGCTAAGAAATCTAAAACAATATTCAGTTAAAAACATACATTAGGGGTGTTATGTTATCTACTGGTATTTAGTAGTGGTTGGTCCACTGTGTGCTATAGTAGTCGCCTCCCATGAGATTTTAGAGCACTTCCTGCTTCAGTCTGTTGACAAACCTTATGGACTTGCTTAGCATCTTCCCAGAGTGGTAAAACTACTTCTAAATGGTTTGCTGACCATGTTACTGGTACGCTTGACTAGCCAGCCAACTCCACAGAGAATCTATGCGATATTGTCAAGAGGAAGCCCAAAAATTCCAGAAATTCCACATTTCTACATTAGAAATCCTGTTTTTATTCATCTTAGGAAATATTCTAATAATATGAGATCTTAGACTCTGATTTTCATGAGCCATAGCCCATCATTTTCAAAATTACATAAAATGCCTTGAAATGTTTCTATACAGCATGTAAATGAATATAGATTACGTAATAGTTTTAACTTTTTGAATTAAATTATAAAGAACATATATTATACATATATAATATTCAAATTATTTTAGTTTTGTATTAATATTAATATTCTAAGTCTACTTACAGCATCAAACGCATCAGATCCACCCAGTACTAAATGTCACACTGCCCATCAACTTTCAAAGGTAAGCCAGGATGGCAAGTCTCTGTTGGACAAACTGCAGCGACCCTTGACCCCAGGAAGTGCAGATTCGTTGATGGCATCAGCTAACTACTCCAAGGCTGTGCATCATGTTTTGGATATCATCCATGAGGTGTTGCATCATCAAAGGCAACTGGAAAACATCTGGCAGCATCGCAAAGTCCGTCTGCATCAGCGCCTGCAGCTGTGTGTCTTTCAGCAGGATGTACAGCAAGTAAGAAATGTGTGCAAACATCCACAGCAAAACCTGGCTTTGCTGAGACTCTCAACGCCCACACAACGACAGTACAGTAGGAATTGCATAAAGTGGTGTCCCATCTTGCCCTTATGTATGAATTAGTTTCCCTGTAGACTTAAATTGTCTGTACTCTGGCTACTTAACTATCCAATCCAGGAATCCGTCCACTTAAGCATTTTTTACTCTGAGAGCTTGAGAGGATGTCAATGAAGAGCGATTTCCTAGGCTTGTCATTATATGTCAATTTTAGGGTTATTGAATCTTATAAATATTTGTATTTTCCAGTTCAAACTGGAAATTGAATTTAAAAAATGAGGGGGTGATATTAAGAATACGATATAATAATCTCCAGTTATTTCAGTAGCTTTTTTTAAGTTCCTCTGGGGATTTTTTTTAATTTCTTTTGAGTGAGCGTCTCTATGTGTGGCTGTGGTGGGATCAAGTTCTTAGATCAAAGTTCTGAGTTGGTGTATTTCTGTCCTCTGGGCAGGAACCCCTCTTCCACCTCTCCTTCTCTCTCACTCATTCTTGCTGTACATCTATGCTTCTGTCTTCCCCATCTCTTCTTTATCACCTTTTTCTCTTGGTAGTGGTTTCCATGGTGATGCAATTTACTGTCACATAATGTGTCGAGGGCATTGTGTGCATGTTCATATGTGTTTGTCTCATCAAAATATTCTCTCAGAGATGTTGAAAATCCCTTTCACAACCCCACATAGAAACAGATGGAGTTAGGCCATCTGTTTAATAAATAATAAGGTTATTAATAAGTACAAAGACTTATATCTGTTCACAGCCACAATGGGAATGCTGACTCTTTACACTGCTTTGGATTTACACTGAAGCAAAACCCAGTCACCCAGGCTGTAATTTAAACATGACAGACTGCATATGGAGGAAAGGAGTAAAGAAAAGGGGGTGGGGAGAAGCAGAGAGATGACATCTATAGACTGCTGTAATTAATGTGGTCTAAATGCAGGCGATTGTACCCCCTACTGCTGGGAAATACGTACTGCATCCTCAAATGCACTGCTTATTTTTACCTGTTTAAATGTGCTTGTGTGTCTGCATGTGTTTGTGTGTGTTTTTAAAGGTGCTGGACTGGATAGAAAATCACGGTGAGGCCTTCCTTAGCAAACATACAGGTGTTGGAAAGTCTTTGCACAGAGCCAGGGCTTTACAGAAAAGGCATGAAGACTTTGAAGAGGTTGCACAGGTGAGCAAAGCAAACACTTTTTGTTCTGTGACGTACTTTTTCCCATCAATTTATTATTTTTGCAACAACCTGAAAACAGTATTTCACTGTGTAGACTTGACAAAAAACAACCCAAAACAAAGCAAAATGTTGAGTTGGTACGTTCAGTTTAATAAGTTGTGACAAAAATGACAAGAGAAAGTAAGTAAAGTTCTTCTTGTAAAGGTCACTTGGAAGAGATAGAATATTCCCATTTTAAATGTATTTAATCTTTCAGAACACCTACACCAATGCCGACAAGTTACTAGAGGCTGCAGAGCAGCTGGCCCAGACCGGAGAGTGCGACCCAGAGGAAATTTACCAGGCCGCCCACCAGCTTGAAGACCGCATCCAGGATTTTGTGCGACGTGTCGAGCAACGTAAAGTGCTGCTGGACATGTCTGTTGCCTTCCACACACATGTCAAAGAGGTGTGTGTCCCTCTCCCTGCTTCAACTTGTCCTGTTTGCAGCATTGATTTCACTCCTCCGTTTTGCTTATTGCTAGAATTTAATGCGACTAATACAGTAAGAGGACAGTGTGTATAAAAATGATGCAATGATGTTTATTCTGTATTAAGAAACATATTTTAAACTGAGTTACCTGTCTTCATATTTTTGTTGCAGCTCCAGCTGAAATGCAATAAACTCCGCAGGCTAACTTTGCTCTGGCATTTTCACATGCAGGCTATGTTGAATAGCCGTAGCAATTTATGTAAAGTGTGTTTGTATAAATGCATCAGATTGGTTCCAGATGTGTTCCTGCAACAATCATTATGCTGTTTGTAAAAAACAAAGAGTATAATTTTCTTTTGCCTCTGTAGTAACCATTCACACGCCATACAAAGGTAATCTGACCTCATCTGCCTTCTCCTTGACTTTGATTAAGGCAGGCGGGTCTTTAGGTTGTCTTCTTAAGCCTTTAGGGAGCTGTAAAAATGCATTTGTGCTAAGCACTCCTTGAAATAACTCTTTTGTGCATCTTTGACTGTCAAAATTAACCTTCCCAGACGGAAAGGCAGTGCTCTCTGCATGTGTTAACACTACATCCTGTTTACATAGACTCATAGACAGTAAGAGCCTAGGTATTATTAATGAAGCTAGTCTTTAATGCCCATATGGACTAATCTCCTTCATCCCATCTGTCAGCTCACAATGATAGCAGTACGCTATCTGTGTGAGCGCATGTGCATTTCTGAGCATGTGTGTTTGTGTTTGTGCCACTATGATTCTTTTCTCTGCATGCATATGTTTGTACAAGTGAATGTTTCCAACTCTGCTGCCCATCACTTCTTCAAGTGCTGCAGAATCCTTTGGATGCAGTCCAGTGTGATAGAGGGCAAATTTACTGTGATGACAGGGCATGAACTACATTGTATAAGAAGCAGTTTACCTGTTTTCCACGAAGCTAACTGATCAGAAGGCTCGGACTAATAAAAGTAGCCATCTTTATTTAATCAGAAATTCTCAGACAAGGGCTTTGACAAAGAGAGAAGCATTTGTTCTGAAAAATTAGTCGCTCACTTGATTTCACTTTTCACACATTTTTAATGGTCTGTGTCAGTATGGAAACCATGTAATATGTAACATAGTTAACGCAGTGAACAATATCAAAAGTAGGCATGTTTTTGTGTTGGCAGCGTGGGTGTTAGACAAACAATGGGTGCCAGGGTCTCTCCCCTGCAGCCTGGACCGTATGCCAGGGCTTCAGTACCCTGAGCCAATTCACCCAGATGGCTAATCTGTTACAAAGATGACCATTCACAAAACACCAGCTTTGAAAAGAACTGGTTAGATTTGATTTGTTGTTGATTTCTGTCTCATATCTCTTGTCTATCCATTTGGCAGCTCGTCTGTTTATTCTTAGATTTCTGTTTAACTCACACCACTATATGCACCACCCTCAAACATGTGTCTGCAGATTATTGTGCTGTTTTTCTCTACATTTGAACTGGCTTTTTTTTCTTTGTCGATCACACTTAGCTGTGGACATGGCTGGAGGAGCTTCAGAAAGAACTGCTGGATGATGTTTACGCAGAGTCAGTCGAGGCAGTCCAGGATCTGATCAAGCGATTCGGCCAGCAGCAGCAGACCACCCTGCAGGCAACAGTCAATGTTATAAAGGAAGGAGAGGACCTCATACAACAGCTCAGGTGATCATTTATTAGTATTATTACATTTTTAAATGCCTCACTAAAGTCTGAATATTCTAATATTCAATGTTCATCTGATCATCTGTCACATTTGCCATCTGGAGATGGCCTTGGGTTACACATATTTTCCAATTAATCAACAATCATGTGTTCATGAGATAAAAGGAAAACAAGAAGCGCTGATAGAAGAATACACTGGGAAAAATGGGTGAGGGTGATTTCTAACAGAATGACTTGACAAAAATTGGGAACAAAGTCCTCTCCATTTAACCCCTGCTTACAGAGACTCTGCCATCTCGAGCAACAAGACTCCGCACAACAGCTCCATGGCCCACATTGAGAGCGTGCTGCAGCAGCTGGACGAGGCCCAGGGCCAGATGGAGGAGTTGTTCCAGGAAAGGAAGATCAAACTTGAGCTCTTCCTCCAGCTCCGCATCTTTGAAAGGGACGCAATTGACGTAAGTAGGCGGAAAATAGAGGGTTGGTGTATGATGCATATTTATTTTTAAAGTGAGAGTGAGGAAGACAGAACAAGAAACACCAGAATAGTAGAACTCGTGATCTTTAGATGTAAAAGCGAAGACAGAATGTTTCAAATATCCACACCGCAGGAAGGTGTTTTCAATGAAAAGGGAGAAATTAAGGTGTACAGCAGGGACCAAAAAGACTAAAAGTTTGGACATGAAAAACAAAGTGCTACACATGTGATACGCTAAGAAAGAAATAACAGAATGTATCATATCAGCCAATTTGTTTTTTCTTATTGGCTGTTGAAAAGATCAATTACATGTGACAGCGGGCTTACTGGCAAACCAAAATGACTGTGACTGTGAGCTGATGGACCATTACAGCGTGAAAGGAAGATTCAGTCCTGGAGTGAGGATTCCAGCTGGTTTAAATCTCGGCTAAATTCACAGTCATACTCACACGTGCGCTACATTAAAAAAGTGTTTAGTTCCACTCGATGAATCTCATCCACTGACTCGCTCCAGTTATGTCTCCCCCTCCCCAGTTAGCAGTTTGCTAATTCCTTAGCATCTTGCTGTGAGAGTGAACGCTGTACTCAGCTGGTGCTCAGAAATGAGCGCTGCTCTTAAAAAAAACAGAAAGAAAGAAAGAAAGAAAGAAAGAAAGAAAGAGAGAAAGCATTGCTCTTATTTTTATCATGGCTATCAAATTAGATTTGTTGAGCCATACTGTGCTGACAGAAGAATTACACTCTGGCACTTTAGAAGCAAACGCACTGAAAAGAGACGCAGGCTTGTATTAATAAGAATCATGTAAGTAAGAAGAAGAGATGTGGAAAGTCATTATTGAGGACATAATGAATATATTAATCTTGGAAAATGGTTTTCAATTATAAACTCATCACTTGTGGTTTCTGTGGGTGGTAAGTTTAGTGTTTTTGGTCCAGAATAAAAATAGCTTAAACAGCTACTCCATAGAGCACCAGCACTCATGGTAAGTGGATGACTGTAACTTGGTTTGGTGATCCTGCAATGATGATGATGATGATGATGATGATGATGATGATGATGATGGTAAATGGAAAGCCCACAGAATGTCCTGATTATCTCTTGGCTTTACTTTACACTCATCAGCCACCTTGTTAGGTACAACCTACTAGTACTGGATTAGACTTACTTTTGCTTCCTTAATTCTTTGTGGCATTGATTCAACAAAGGTGTTAGAAACATTCATCAGAGATTTTGCTGCACATTGACATGATAGCATCACACAGTTGCTGCAGATTTGTTGGCTGTGCATCCATGATGTGAATCTCTCTTTTCACCACATGCCAAAGTTGCTCTGGGATCTATGGCTGTCTATGCCATTTGAATACAGTCAGCTCATTGTCTTGTTCAAGAAACCAGTTTGAGATAATTTCAGCTTTGTGAAGGGATGAAAATGGTCAGCAACAAAACTCAGGCAGACTGCAGTGTTTAAATGCTCAGTTGATACTAAGGGCCCCAAAGTGTGGCATGAAAATATCGGTCACGCATATTTTCCCACCATTGGCTCTAAACGTTAATACAATACAAGATAGGACTGTGTTTTTATGCTATTTACAGAAAATTGTGGCCCAACCATGTGAATGTTACAGCAGAAATCGAGACTCATGAGACCAGAAAACGTTTATCAAATCTTCTATTCTCTAAATTTAGTGAGCTCGTGTGAACTGCAGCCTCAGTTTCCCGTTCTTAGCTGGCATGAGCAGAATCTGTGGTGGTCGTCTGCTGCTGTAGCTCATCTGCTTCGAGGTTTGCCACACTGCATGTCCAGAAATGCTGATCTACACAGCTTGGTTGTAACAAGTGGTTATTTGAGTTACTGTTGTCTTCCTATCAGCTTGAAACTATCTGGTCATTCGCTCTAATCAATAACGCACCCAGAGAACTCACACTCACTGATTTTCCCTTATTCAGACCATTCTCTTTAAACTCTAGAGACATCAGTGTGGGAAAATTTTCCCCCACTCTGACGTTTAGCTTGAGTTTGAACAGGATGTCTCAAGACCATGTTGACATGCGTAAATGTCGCTGCCTGTGTTTGGCTAATCGGATATTTTCATTCACGAGCAGTCAAACAGGTGAACCCCACAAAGTGTCTGGTGAGCGCGTTAATGAAGATATGATTATGTAATTATCTAATAATAAGCGTCTTTTGTCATCTTTTAGCATAATAAAGCATAGTACAGCATAACATAGCAAATGTTAATAAATGTAATAGCTGCAAAAATGCATACTTGACTGCAAATAAATGTATAACAAAAATGTATCCTATAAAACTAAAAAAGTTCATTTGTTAACAGTTACCCAACTGATAAATGACTTAGACTCACATATGTTTGTGAATATTATGAAGAACTGTAAGAATCGCAAGGCTTTTATTAGCGTCTCTAACAGTCTATAAACAGTCAATGGGTACGTTTCTATTAATATCCTTAAAATAAACCTGGTTGTAATGTTATTAGTAGCAAATGATAAATATGTTAAAAATGCTCGTCACATATCAGCTAGCATGTTAAGTGTTGAGTTGTCTGCTCTCTTCATCTGAACAAAAATATCGTTAACTTAAGAAGAATCTACGAACCATAAGTATTGTGGAGATTTATTGAAGATGTCCATTTGAGGATCCTTCCATTATGTTAACTTTTATTACAGGTACAGTCAGAAGTATTTCATACACATTGCATATCTGTGCTTATTTTGAGTTGATGTTCGGTTCATTGAGGGTCTTAAGCTTCACTGGCGTGACTGTCCAGGTGATACATGCTGAGGGAAACTAGAACATAGAAGGATAACTGCAATGCATGCTTACAGTACATATAATACATATAATCTAGGAATGTGTCCGGCCTGAGGCCTCAACTCATTTGGTGTCTTACTATATTTTATTCTACTTGGTAACAGACGATCAGAGTCAATAATTAGCTCCAGAGACCCTGAGGGCTTGAAGTTTATTACCTTGTATGGAAGGTGTTATAGAAAAGAGAAGTTCTATGTCTGCTTATAGCTATTAAAGATGTACGATTAACTGTGACGAATCAGAATCAGAATCAGAATCAGAATACTTTATTGATCCCTGGGGGAAATTATTTTTTGTTACAGTGCTCCATTTTAAACCAACATTAAGACAAGACAGACAATACGCTAACTAAGAATAGTACAATATATACATATATATACATACATACATACATACATAAGTCACTCATAAATAAATAGTTGGAAAAGAAACATGTGTAGCTGTAGCAGCAAACAGTGTGTTAAGTGGATGCGTTGTACAGGGAGATGGCCACAGGCAGGAATGATTTCCTGTGTCGTTCAGTGGTGCTTTTCGGTAATCTCAGTCTCTCATTGAACGAGCTCCTGTGACTGACCAACATGTCATGGAGTGGGTGGGAGGTGTTATCCAACATTGTCTGGAACCTATTTTAATCTGTCATTGACGCCATGGGGGGGGGGAGGCGTGTACCCCACTGCTTTATAAGTATCCAAAACATGTATTTTGGTCAGAAGACATATATTGATGTTTTCTCCGGGCGGACTTTTCTGGGGCCTCCGTGGCTTGTGACACTGCTCTACATTGATTGATTTTGCGACAGCTTTGGTGGAGGATGCGGGCAATTGTAGAGTGCTAATGGGGTTACTTCCACGGTGGTCGAGCAGGATTTAGTGGTCAGACGGGCAGACGTCTCGGGTGATTTCCTGACTACTGTGGGCCCACATAAAAAGGTGAGCACAAACCTCTTAAACCTCTTAAATATAATGTAGAGTCAAAACATTACAATATGTAAAGCTTTTAAAATTTAGTATTATATGAAGGGGTGTATATTACATGTGCGTGTCAGGTCAGGTACACCCACTCTTGCACACAGGATTAACAGAGGGACTTTGAGGAATATGATGAGTGGAAAAGGCATTCCTGCCACTCCACACACGCGCAGTTGCACAACGACACTCCCTCCTGGCTTAACTTGGGGGGGTGTGTATGTTAGATGAGGGCACTGGTTGAGGTGAGACGCACACTCCTCCCTCAGTGCTTTATTGCCTGACAAAAGCTGTGTATGAGTGCATAGCACCAAGACCAAAACAGTCAGAGGGGACACTTCTCCTCCATTAGTTAGTCATTTCAGACTTTGTAGATTAAGGAAATGGTCTTTTTGTACTCAGAGGGCATTTTACTCAACTGTAAGAGGAGAGGAGAGCAGAGTCTAAATGAGCGCTTGGTAAGTTTGTTAAAACTTTGTTGCCAGATTTGTAAAAATCATCATATTGGTTTAAGAAGGTATTATCTGTTATTGTCTTATGGAAGCTTGATAAGATTATCCTGTGTGTTAACTGAAAGAAAAATTGTGTCTCTGTACAGAGCAGATTTTATTCTATTAATCCAAACTCCTACAGCACAGCGCAGAAAGCAGAGGCACTTTTTCATTTGGAGACAGGGTAATGTTCTCTGTTGTAGAAGTGGTCTATCTCGCCTTTTGTATACTTATTCAATAGTTACAATTAGGACCTTCCTGTGAAGTAGACTTTCATGCATGCATTGCTTTGAATAATTACAATATATCAGTTTTAAACTTTGTGAATCTTTTTTTTCCCCTTGGTTCAATTCTCATCTGAGTCTGCTTTTGTCATGAGGTGAAAAAGGAGAAAGAAATCAGGAAGCTGAAGACTGATACCTCCCAAAATATGAATATACCTCCACAGAATATGTATTTATTCATAGAAACTCTTGAAACACAACGTTTTTCTTGTTGCTGGAATTTGTGGCTTGTTTTCTGTATCTCGGGGGAATATTTAAAGCTCTCAGCTGTCTCACACTTACTAGGCGAACCTCTCTGAGAACACCAGTAACAATCTTAAGCATTGCAAAATGTATAATTACACGTTATGTAGAAGCTGTAGTAAATTACATTTTTAGCAGTGTACAGTGTAACTGCATTATGAATAAAATAACTGTATCTGGCAATCTGGATCAGGGGATGTACCTGAGGGACAGATTAAATTAAGCACAGTACTGGCTGAGGAGGTTTAACTTATTCACGTATGATTAGGAACGTGATGCCATCAATGCTGTTCTCCTTTTTTCAACATCTATTTTCTGTATGACTGTCTCCCGATTTTTATTTTTCTGCCTTATATTGAAACTCACTGGCCTGGCTGTTAGCAGTTGGCTTATTTTTCCTCACTGTGTTGGAGGTTTTCTGGGTAACTGTCATGTGTGAGACTCGGAGACAGATTCAGAACTCGCACACAGGACACAGAGGGAACAGAGGGACCAGATAGGGACTGAGGAAAGATAGAAGATAGAAGACTGAGGAAAAAGTCCAATAAAGATGGAGACACGACAGATTACACAGGGAGACACAAATAACTAACACGGGTACACAGAGGGAAGACTGGACATGAAAAGGGAACTAAATGAAACTAAACAAGGAACAGAGAATTAACCAAACTAAGAAACAGAAGGAAATTATACTCAGGAAATAACAAATTATCTTAAACCTCATTCCAGAAATACCTAACAATTCAAGACAAGCACAAACTACTTGGTCACAAACCCAGGACCATGACAGTAACAGGATAACAGGATAACTGTTTATAATTTGAAGAGGACAGCTTTGATTTTCAAGGAAAATGTTTAATTCTTATCTGGACTTTTGATTTTTAGGGCACGGTGACTCAAGTTACGCAAAGGTAACTTTAAATTCTTTACATGCATTTGTTGGGTTACACTAGGACAGAGACTAGGGTCAGACCTCGAAAGAAACTTCAGGATTTTGCTCATATTACTAAAACAGCACAAAGCATGGATATTGAAATCTGATAAGTTGATTTTGTGCCGATGCAGCAATGTAAATATCACCCTCTAAAGCTCAGATCTGACATTAAGATGTGATTCCCCAGCATACCTGTGTGCTTAAAGTGCTTTTGGAATGTGTAAAGTCAAGTTTAGTTAAAAAAAAGTTTGCTTGTAATAACAGTATTCATAAAACGTGATTCTCTCTCTTGATACAATAAGTAAAGACTGCAGAGCAAGAGGTGAATACCTTCTAGAAAACAACAAAACTATAACTCACGGTTTGAAAACAAGAAAGACAAAAAAGATCGAGACAGCATGGAGACAGAGCTGAATGGTGCCAGGATCAAGGTGCTCCTGGTATCATGATTCAGTCTGTGTGGGCAGTCAGAGACAAGCGCTGACATCTTGGTACATCTGCTCCACCAGCCGTTTATTACCATTTGTAATATATTATCCATTATTGTGGAAGCCAGCGCGCTGCTGGCTTACAGCTCTTAAAGTGCTTGAGTTGCTAATTGAAGATGAAACAGCTGTCATATTTTTAAATGCAATTCTTTCCCTCTTTCTTCTTCTTTTGTTTTTTTGTCAGACATCTGTCTTTGAATTAGCAGGATAATATTTAAACATAGAAACCCTGATTTTTTTTTTGAATTCATAGTCATTTGGTATATATTTTCCCCCTTTTTCAACACCAAATGAACATACATTTAAAATGATTTTAACTAACCAAAAATACACATATGTATCTAGATCGAGGGGTAACTGTGGTGTAGAAGACAAATTGCTGGGATTAAGTAGCGCACAGCTGTTGGTGCAAATGTTTCTTCATTGTCACTGTCCTTTTTGGAAATAATAATACAAAAAGGAAACGTTCTCCCATTTTATGTGCATGTTAGCCCTTCTTCCTGCCTTAACCCTCTCTGCCCCTCTCAGATCATCTCAGACCTGGAGTCATGGAATGAGGAACTGTCACAGCAGATGAGCGACTTTGACACGGAGGATCTCACACTGGCTGAGCAGAGGCTGCAGCATCATGCGGACAAAGCTCTTACCATGAACAACCTCACCTTTGATGTCATCCACCAGGGACAAGAGCTGCTGCAGTATGTCACGGAGGTCCAGGCGTCTGGTGAGTTAGGGAATATAAATACATTTAAACCTTGAGTATTTATTCAAGGGGGCGACCCAGTGCCAGTCGTTAGGGGAAATTCTGCACGGGCTAAAATACCCTCGGGAGCTCAGTCCCTTATTTGACTTCTGGTAGGCCAAACCTTTGCTACTGTCATTTCCCAGCTCATTCCTCTACTCGTGCCTTCCATGAATAATTTGTAGAGTGTAAAAATAGGAAGCCATCCAGCTGTGGCTGCTGCTGTTGTATGGATGCTGGGAAATATAGTGATGTATAGTATAACCATCCTGATTATGTTAGAAAACCTTTTTCAGTGTTGGTAACACAACAGAATGTCCACTTTCTGCAGGTGTGGAGCTGTTATGCGACCGAGACGTGGACATGGCCACACGGGTTCAGGACCTGCTGGAGTTTCTCCACGAGAAGCAGCAGGAGTTGGATCTCGCCGCAGAACAGCACAGGAGACACTTGGAGCAGTGTGTCCAGTTAAGGCATCTGCAGGCTGAAGTCAAACAGGTATGTATGTGACTCAGGGGAGACAAAGATGCAACACTAAAGCAGCGATTAAGGTTTGACTTGGGTTTCAAAAGCTCTCTAAAAGCTAGAAAAAGAACAATGACTGCTTACAAAGCCTGAAACTGTTTTCTGACATCTGGTAACTCATAATATATTTATATATTATGAACTGCATATATGTGTCCCATACATATAGTCACACATGAATATTCACATGAATCTTCTTTTTTCCTGTAGTCACGCTGCTGAATGGAAATCCGTTCTGGCAGTTCAGTGCTAACATACTGAGAATCTGCAGCAGAGAGTGATAGTGCGGCCTTTTAGCACATACTATGTTGTGTCTGTACATGACCATGGGTAGATGACTCATCCTGTGTCAACAATTTCTCTCTGTCTCTCTCACTCGTTCTTAACTGTATTCATTCTGCTTCTCCCAAAAATATTCAGTAATGAGCAAATTTAGTTTGCAGTGCAATAATTGATCCATCATTCAATTTTCATCAGAATACTAAATATGAATTTCTTTGACTCCACTTTGATCTGTCCAGGTGCATGGCATCATGCATTATGACGGATAGAGATTTTCTCACAAGAGTGCTGTGAAAAATGAAGTACACTTTTACTGCTTCCTTAGGAATTAAAAGTGCAAGTGGGAGCCAGATGCTGCTAATGAACTGCACTTGATTAACTGTTTATCAGCAAGTGTGAGCACCTCTATAAAAGCAGACGTTTTGGCAGTTTGCTTGTTTTCAGCATTCAGGTCTTATCTTAGACTATAAAAGGCTCAGTGAGCATGTTAAAGTTCATAACAGTACAATTAGAAAAATACTGAACAAGTATGGCTTGTTTGGAAGAGTTGCGAGGAGAAAGCCTCCTCTCTTTGAAAACAAAATAGCAGCGCAGCTTAGATTTGCTAAGTTATATCTGAACAAACCGCAAACTTCTGAAATAATGTCCTTTTGACAGACAAGACCAAAGTGGAGCTGTTTGCCACATTTGGTGAAAACCACCGAGTAAAAACACCTCCTAACTACTATCATGCGCGATGGTAGAGGGGTAATTATTTGGGCTTGTTATGAATCTGAATGCTTTTGTCAGCTATGAACTCCTCTGTACACCAAAGGATTCAAATGTGACGTCATGTCTCAGCTACATCTCAAGATGCAACAATAATCCCGAGCACACCAGCAAATCTGCAACAGAATGGCTGAAAAAGAGCTGAATCCTGTGCTGTAACGACACAGTCAGAGCCCAGACCTCAGCGCTGTAATGACTGTAAGACTTTAAGAGAGCTGTGCTAAAATGAATGCCAACAAACCTCAATGAACTTAAACAAGATTGTAAAGAAGAATGAACCAAAATCCCTCCATAATGATCTGTTTTAATGACGTTTTTCTCATCACTGTATATTACCCACAAATGTCTTTCAATGTAGCTAGAAAAGTAGCAACTTTGAAATTTGGTGTAGTGTCCACTAATTTATTGTACATTTAATGCACAGAGCATTAAGAAAAATCTATTCCTATTTGTTCAAATACTTGAATAAACAGCAATGTTACAAAGAAACACAAGAAAAACCAATAATCCAGACAAAAACAGATGTGGTTTCTTTCCTATTGTTTTGCATGTCATCTAGTTATTCCCTAACAGTATCTATTCAGTAGTGGAACACAATTACAGCAAGACAATCATGTGGAGCAATCTTTCCTGCTGCTATCTGAAACCCAAACATCAACAAACACGGAGGCAATTTTCACAACAAGGACTCTTATTGTGGTGATGCAGCCAAACAACAACAGTCTTAGGCTTGAACTTGAACTAAAACTAATGAAAAAAAATTTGGTTGCTGGAAAAGAAAATGATATTGATACTCGAGGAGGGCCGCGTCAAAACATTTCAAACGCACTGCCGTCACAATGATATGACAGCTGACAGAATGATGATAGCGTGTTAGCATGGAGTTAGTTTTCATTCAGTTACTGAATGCAGTTGCTCATCATTCATAGAGAAAGGTTGCTGCAGGTGCGGCTCTTTTACAGAGCGTGATAATTGTTTATTCAGCTCAGAAAATCTGAATTGGGATGGAGATCGTCAGTGTGGTTAGTGCGTATTATTTCAGGAATTCGGTGTAAAATACACTTCAACAGCTTTTGCCATCCACTCTCTTACACGGGGGAGCTTAGCTATTACACAACCTGCTCTGAATCCTCTAACTGCACCCTTTTACAGTAAAGCCGGGAACAACAGTAATCTTGTAATTGTAGCTTGTGTGTTTATGCTGCTGAACTATCTCTAAATATTGCTGTGCTAAATTTACCAGTGTAAGTTTGTGTGTTTGTTTTTTTAACCCAAACCCAGAAGTAGTTTCTTATTAGGTCTGCTGGAGGCCTTATAATAGAAAAGCGGGAGCTCAAACGAAATAAAAGGATTGTAAATAGATAAAGCTGTGTTTTTATGCCATGGTTTGATAAAATATTGAGCTATATTATAAAAGGGTTTAGTGTTCATTCACACATCTGTGTTAAGCCACATGTCCCCACAGCTCCTGAGATTAAAAAAGCTAACCTCATACCTGCCCCGCCCCAGGTCGTTGCAAGTGCAATGGAAACACTGACCCTGTTAAAACTTCTCAAAAACAGGTGTCAGTGTTGTGTAGCGTCATTCATTTTCTGGCCAGGCTTCATATGCAGTTCTGCTACCACCCACTCAGCAGGCGTGCATGCTGAGTCAGAGAGAGTGAGCGAGGTGTCTTCGAGAGACTAACCTTTGGCTAGAATTAGGCCAGTGAAAAACAAAAGCAAATGTGATTTTTGGGCGCTGCAGGCAGCGTGTATGCAAGGCGGGGTAGAGAAGGTGGTTTGGGAAATGTGCGCAGGGTATAATTTCAAGATCAAAAAGTTGGAAATGAGCATTTCTGTCACAGAGTACCGACAGTAAAATATAGCAGAATAGAGAAGTAGCTAAAAAATAAACGACCAGTCCACTTTTTTTTGTTTTTCAGTTGTTTTTAAAATGTCATAATAAATTTAATCCCACTCTTTTCGAAGATAAATTTCGAAGCTTTCTGTTGTGCTGTAGGTGCTGGGTTGGATCCGTAATGGTGAGTCGATGCTGAACGCAGGTCTGATCACAGCCAGTTCCTTACAAGAGGCCGAACAGCTGCAAAAGGAGCACGAACAATTTCAACATGCAATAGAGGTACAAGAAACTCAGCTGCCTCATTTTTTTGCTTCTGTGTTTTTTGTAAAAACTTAATTCCCCGCCCTTCCCCCTTTCACCAGGTTTACCTTGATTCATTTTTAAAGGTCTAGTTGCCTTTTCCGTCCTCGCTTCTGCTCCCGTGTCGCTTTCTTGCCCTTCATCTTCCAACCTTTTGCTTTTCTAAAACTCTTTTTAAGGCTGATATCGCTGCACACGGCCTCTCCGTCTGATCACAAGTCAGCCATGAAATGGAATTATGAATAACCGGCATCTATACCCCTCTCTTTCTTCTCTCGCTGCTTTTACCTTTCCCCCTTATTTTCCTTCTCCTCTTTACCCCTGATTATTCGGGGTGCATTGGTTCATTTTAATGCAGGCCTGTGCCTGACCTACTTCTACGACGCTGACATACATGCAACAATTCACACATAGAAGAACATTGTTTTTTATTGTTGTGTAAGTCAGAGTGGAATTTTAACACATGCTGCACACCCCTGATTCCCACCCCAGCACTAGTGAAGGGAAAAAAGTAATATCTTTCTTAATTGTACACAGCAGATGCTTCGGACTTAAGACTTATCCCACAAAAATATTATCAAAGCTAGCAAGATATCGTTAATTTTTTTCTTTTGTTTATCCTCGACTGCCCCGAGTCCAGCAGGAAGCAAAAGCCTTACTCTCGGGCTATGCACTTTAACTCAAACATCACCAGATACTGTTTTGTTTTTTTTTTGTTACCCTCGATCTCATTTCCTCTCCGAAATGCTCACTCTAGGACAACCTTTATGGCACAGCTATAATCAGACACAGCTTTTGTTTATATTGCCTTTACTTTGTTGCTTCCCAGTTCACAGATCTCTACCAAAGTGCCCCGTGGGGCCAAGAGGAAGCTGAGGTCGAATTTTCAAAGCAATCGTTGTGATATACAGATTCATGTACCACCTGAAATTCATTGTTTTTCATATCACCCTTCCCCTGCGTGCAGAAAACCCATCAGAGCGCGCTGCAGGTACAGCAGAAAGCTGAGGCTCTACTCCAGGCAAACCACTATGACATGGATATGATCAGAGACTGTGCAGAAAAGGTATTGTTGCTTTGTGTTGTCTCTGAGGGAAAATAGTGCGGGCAGTGCAGTGGCTGGTAAACTGATTTATTTTGTTTGACTTGAAGGTGGCAGACCACTGGCAGCAGCTGATGCTAAAGATGGAGGACAGACTTAAGCTGGTTAATGCTTCTGTGGCTTTCTACAAGACCTCTGAACAGGTATTATTGTTTGTGCACGTGAATGCATATGAGTGTGGGAGTGGGTGCCACCAAAGTAATATCTGATCTTAGTGTATGAGTAATTTTAGTATAAATTTAAGTTTAAAAACATTCTCTTTCCCTGGTAAGCATCAGTCCCCAAAGTTAGTGCCTGCAGACTTACATTCGGATAAGAAAATTGCTTCCAGCAGCCCGAATTTGCACAGGTTGCATGAAAGTGTAGACCAGGAGTGGATTACTGAAGAGCAGTTTTTTTTTACAAACTGCACTGTGTCATCTGTGTCGTAGGTGTGCAGTGTGCTAGAAAGCCTCGAGCAGGAGTATAAGAGAGAAGAAGACTGGTGCGGTGGTGCTGATAAACTGGGCCCTAACAGTGAATCAGACCATGTCACTCCCATGGTCAGCAAACATCTGGAGCAGAAAGAGGCCTTCCTCAAGGTGAGAACGATGATTTTATTGCAAATACGAAAATAAACGTCAGCATTTTAGGGGGGTTAATGTGGCCTGGACTGATCCAGAATGGCATTCCTGCACAGTAATTAAATCTGACAGGCAGTTTAATGCAAAATAAGATCAAGTGAGTTCATTATTAATGTGCTGCCGCTTGTTGTTGCTAACAGCTGCTACTGCTGAGAAAGTAATGTTAGCCTTGATCCCATCTGCACAGTCTACACACATTTTATTTACTTTTTGTCCTCGTCAAGCGTACGCAAGCGTCAGTAAATGTTGGGCTCTTGGTATTTCAGCATCTAGCTATCAAGCCATCCATTTTTTTGCCACTTATGTGGGGCAGGGTTACAGAGGCAGCACCCCAAGCAGAGAAGCCCAGACTTCCCTCTTCCCAGCCAACTCCTCCAGCTCATCTGGTGGAACGAAGCATTCAAAAGGCAGACAAAAGACGTAACCCAGGACACCCACTCTAGCTACCGTGACAAAAAAGGAGCGAGAGTATTAGCAGTTACATTTTGAAGTAGCACATGTTAGTTAAAGGTAGTGTTTCCATGTTTGCAGGGAGAAAAAAAGAGCTAATGTGTGAGAAGTTCACTCAGAGATAGAGAAAGATGTACAAAAGAAAGATGAGAGACTGTTTTCAAAGGTAAAGACTGCTCAACAAGTGATGTTTGATAAATATAAATACATTTGGTAGCAAAAGGAAAAGTCCAACGTTGTACTGTCTAGGGCTTGTGAAACAGGCATGCTCGCCGCTGCGCTTCTACCCTGGATCTTAGGGTTCCAATTCCCATTGCAACCTCTGATTATAAGGATACGAATGTGTTGACCCGCTGAGTAACATTCGGGTTCTTTCTGCACAATTACAGGCTTGTACGCTAGCCAGACGCAACGCTGATGTTTTCTTGAAGTACCTGCACAGAAACAGCGTCAACATGCCTGGCATGCTGTCCCACGTCAAAGCTCCAGAGACTCAGGTTAAGAGTAAGTAAACACCTCAGAGATAACTGTCATCCTTTCTGGATCTCATTATTACAGTTTACAGGAATCATTACAAATGTTTTTTACACAGTTGGTATAAACCTAAGCCCCTTTCAGACATGCACTCATTGCCGTTAACTCGATGGCATCTTAACATCTCTTCATGTCTGATTGGAAAGTTCCCCAGAGCTTTTAAATAAAAGTCAGGGCAGTGGTCCTTCATATGTCACTTTCAAAAGAAAACAAGTCTGAATGCATGCAGTCACAGTGATAGATGTGTTCACTGAAAATTACAGCTGCACAATTCTCTCATCTAGGTTTATTGAAGCAGTAAACACATTTACATAATAGCATTTTGTCTCAACAACACTGCTGCTAATTTGCAATAAGATAAAAGACTGTGATGGACTTTTGCTATTCCCAGTCTGGGGGAGATCGCCCACTTCCTGAGTATTTGTGGGAGGGTTATAGCAATTTCTCACCTCTCTTTGATTACTGCACGTATACAGTGTTACACTAAACTAGAGTTTACGCTGACAGTGGCATAAATCCATCAGTGCTTTTGCATGTAAGGCTAATAACAAATGCACGAACATAAACATTAATATTAACAGATGTGTGAACTATTCCATGATTAAAAGGGCTTTTTTTTTTACTTTCCTTGCACCATTTTAATAATTCTGCGAAGTTTTGATTTCATGCGTTCAATTTTTTTTTCCTGCGTTTGTTTGCGTGTTAAGCAGAAATTCGTAACCGACTCGAATAAACAAAGTGCTTGTGTCGATTCATCAGATATCTTGAATGAGCTGCTGCAGAGAGAAAACAGAGTGCTTCACTTCTGGACCATGAGGAAGCGGAGACTGGACCAGTGCCAGCAATATGTAGTGTTTGAACGCAGCGCCAAACAGGTGTGTGCTTGTTTATATGTGCAGTGGGAATAAGCACAATCTGATCATGAGGCTCAGCAGATAACTGCATTGTGGTGTTTGATTTACTGCAGACTGAGAAGTAGAAATAAGCCTCGTGTTTGGAGTGGGAGTATATCAGCATATTCGTTTTGTTGGCGAGCAGCTGCAACTTCCATCTTGTTTTGTCTCTCTTTTTGAATTAAACAATGAGTTAGTGTTTCTTTATAATGGCACATTCAACTGGAAGTGCTGCAAACAGGCAGTGATATGTATAAATGTCTTAAGGATGGCTACCATTATGTGGCACAGGACATATAAAGGTTAGAGTTACTGGAAAGCATTTCCAAAGCATCTCTTCAACTCTTTCCCCCCCCCTACATGTCAACCTGACCTTGGGAAGCTTTTCTGTGAAGAATAAGAGAACTGAGCTAGACCACAGTTCCAAAGAACACTCAATATTTCCCATTCAAACATGTCTCACTTTGAGAAAAGTTTGGTTAATATTGTTTGCAGTAGCAGGCGGGATGCCCTTACACTCTACAAACTGAGCTCATAACTGGAATGCTTTATTTAAACATGGCATGAGAGAGCCAAAGCAAGTTTGAAACTGCACTCTATTTTCCTGTACTAGGGTGCCTTAGGTTGTTTAATATAAGCCACTTGGCTCCCTCTTGTGGTGTTCGGGTATATGCACGGACCAATTCTCTTAGCCAATAAAGCCAGATGACATCGAGCGTGTTTCTAGGACATGGCTATTCTAGGCTGGTCCAGGTTTTATCCCCAGGGCCCAGGGCTTGTTTCTGGTCTCACAGTTTGACTGGACCAGTTCTGCCATCACTGGTTGGGAGGTAGACCCAGTTTTAAAGTACGCAAACACTAATAAGGATAGAAATTAAATAGGACATATTTTAAGTGAATGCTAGAAATTTAGGAACTAACTAATTATTTTAATACGTGTTAAATGATTGGATCTGGAGGGAAACCAAAAAACATAAAATGATGCATAATATTTCCATGTCTTGTTATTTTCACAAGGTCATACTGATGTCAACTTTCCTCATCCAGAAGTCCCATGAATGTGATCGTAGGGAATTATAAAGGGAGTCTTAGAGGCGATCTGTATGGCAGAAAATACTACTGAGAGACCACAATCAGTTTAAACACAAGAATTATTGTTAGTTTAAATATACATATACATACTACATAATACACTAAGGGTTTATTTTTTATATTTTTTTGTAGTTTTAAGTGCATTAGGTCCTCAGATTTGGGTAGTCTGTGTTAAACTAAAATCCCTTCACTGTATACATACTCATTTGTGATTGGCTGTTTCCTCAGGCCCTGGAGTGGATCCATGACACTGGGGAGTTTTACCTGTCCACTCACACATCCACCGGGTCGAGCATTCACCACACACAGGAGCTACTGAAGGAACATGAAGATTTCCAGATCACAGCAAAGGTATGTGTGTGTACATTTATGTCTGTTTATTTATCCATAAAAGAAGGAGGACGAGCCTGTTTGCAGTTTTTTTCCTACCTGCTACTTACTGGTTGCGTTGCGTGTATATTTGCACAGTCTCACCCTCTGCTGTGAGGCCCTTTCCCAGGGCGGCATATTGTCCTGTTTCCTCTTTACTGTGTCGCTGTTATTATGTTAGGGAGCAGTCTATTGTGTCCATCAGGCAACACACTGTTTCCTAACACTCTCTTTCTTTTTCTCTGCCATCTACCTTTCCTCTGTATGGCCATCCCTCTCCACTCTGTGCCCCCTCCCTCTCTATTGACAGCAAACCAAAGAGCGGGTAAAGCTGTTGATCCAGCTGGCGGATGGGTTTTGTGACAAGGGCCACGCCCATGCCTCGGAAATAAAGAAATGGGTGTCCTCGGTGGACAAGCGCTACAGGGACTTCTCTCTCCGCATGGACAAATACCGAACCTGCCTGGAATCAGCGCTTGGCATTTCTTCCGACTCAAACAAAGCCGTGAGTGCCCATCGCTGATAACACCATATCTGATCTTTCAAGCAGCTTTAAAAATGAAATTGCACGCATATATGTGTATTTGCGAGATATAACTATGCATTATGACCGTTTGCTTCGACTTTCAGCTTTTCAAAAATCATTTTGTGCTTGATGGGATTAACATTGATATAGCCCAAATAAACTACACCTGGGCTGAATCCTGTTTGTTTAACTGCTGATAAATCACCCACTGGTGTGTGGAACTGCTGAGTGACTGATGTGGCCTGTTGTGCACCACATTAATAGCCCTTGGCTCCTGTGTTCTCAGAGTAAAGAGTTGCAACTGGACATCATTCCAGCCAGTGCTCCAGGGTCAGAGGTCAAGTTGCGGGACGCTGCCCATGAACTCAATGAGGAGAAGAGGAAATCAGCACGAAGGAAAGAGTAAGGGCAGCAGACGGGTTGTAAATATCATCCGGATTACCTCAGATTCATTCAAGTGTGTACAAAAACAGTTTATAGTGCACAACGACACAGAGTTATGAGCTTTAATGGCACAACTTTGTGTTGCTGATGCTGTAAAAAATATCTGTTGTAACTACTCATAAGCAGCTATAAGCAAGGGGAATTATAATGCTTCCACATAGAGCTGTTCTATGTGTCTTTCCTTGTTAACCAATTTTTTTGTAATATTTACACACACACGGATTACTTCTATCATACCGATTGGTTTGTTTAACTCATTGACGTCATGAAGTCATCTTTAAGAAACAAAAAGGTACAGGTTTTACAAGCACATCTGTGGATAAATTGTTCATAAAATCCTTTAATTTCTTCTTCTTCGTTTCTTCTAAAGTGTTGATCTAAATTGCAGTCTTTAATCTCTTCAGAAATCCTTTTGTTTTTGAGTTATATTTACTTGCATTTTGTCAGTCACAGCAGTGTGCCGTGTGCATCACTTTCTGTATTTCCCAATATTTATATCGTTTCAGATTTATAATGGCAGAGCTGATTCAAACAGAGAAAGCCTATGTACGAGACCTACGGGAGTGTATGGATGTAAGTATTGTAACAGACGCGAGTCTTCACTAAACAGCTGAAAACGCATCTTTTTAAACTTTCTCATAGGTAGCTTTTTGTTCATACTTTTTACTCTTTTTGTTGTGAAGCACTTTGATGTTTATCTTGAAAGGTGCAATACAAATAAAACTTTACGCATTTCATTCTTTGTTCTTGAATTATGACGATATTTTTCTTTAAAATGATTTCCATTTGGTTACACTGCCAGTTTACTTTTTCTTTAAGCTAGACACAAGTCTAGGTGATGAATTAATTATTCTGTGGCGTGCGCGTCTGTGCAGACCTACCTGTGGGAAATGACCAGCGGCGTGGAGGAAATTCCTCCTGGTATTGTCAACAAGGAACACATCATTTTTGGGAACATGCAGGACCTCTATGAGTTTCATCACAAGTCAGTAGTGCATTATTTTGTGACACTTTGTTTTCCTTACCATCAATATCGGTTGATTTAAAAAAAATCATTGTTAGGTGCAGTGAATCCACAGTTTGACCCTGAAATTTGACCGTCTACCTTTTCCTCTGTCTGTACAGTATTTTCCTGAAGGAGTTAGAAAAGTACGAGCAGCTTCCAGAAGATGTCGGCCATTGTTTTGTAACCTGGGTAAGAGATAAACTTGCACCTTAGTAATTTGTTTCTTTCTACACTATGTTAAATGCTAAAACAAGACATAGTACAATAGTCCATTTCTTCTAAAAAGGTTTATGTTTTATCCATATCTCTGGTGAATAAATACTGCTGTTATTTTTCCTGCTAAGGCTGATAAGTTTCAGATGTATGTGAACTACTGTAAGAACAAGCCAGATTCAACTCAGCTCATCGTGGAACATGCTGGACCCTACTTTGATGTAAGATATTACCAACAGCATTAATCTTTTCTGTTCATCCTCGGGGAGTAGAAATACTAAATTTGCATTTTATATCTGAAATTGACTCACTTCGAATCATAATTAATTTAACTCTCATGGTTCCTCTGTGTGCTGCATGATTTAGAATGAATGAAACACTTTCCTGTAAAAGTGTCTCTTTCCTTTTTCAATTTACAGGAAATTCAGCAAAGACATCGTCTCGCAAACTCTATCTCCTCTTACCTGATCAAGCCAGTCCAAAGAATCACAAAATACCAGTTGCTTCTAAAGGTAGAGCATACATTTAAATGAATCTTAAGAAGGTTTTGTATTTAAATGCCACTGGATTGACACGTTTGTGTGCTCCACTGTAGGAACTGTTAACATGCTGTGAGGAAGGAAAAGGGGAGATCAAGGATGGCCTGGAAGTGATGCTCAGTGTCCCCAAGAGAGCCAACGATGCCATGCACCTCTCTATGCTGGAGGGTGGGTATACATATGTGTACATCTGCTAGTATGTTTTTCTTTGCTTGTCTGTAGCCAGTGACTGAACTGTCACTTTGCTATTTTGAGAGAAAACGAAATATGTTGCTCACTTTTATAGTCAGTTGTATTTCTGACTCAGCTGTGAGTCAGAAGTAAATTTTTTCAACTTGCCTCCTACAAACATATTTGCATTTACTGCAGAAACAAGAAAGCCCCCTTAGGTGATTCTTCCCTGATTTTCCTTTCACTACCTCAGGATTTGATGGAAACATCGACTCCCAGGGAGAGCTGATACTCCAGGAGTCCTTCCAGGTCTGGGATCCTAAGACTCTTATCCGGAAGGGTCGGGATCGACACCTCTTCCTCTTTGAGATGTCTCTGGTCTTCAGCAAAGAAGTGAAAGACTCTAATGGGCGCAGCAAATACCTCTACAAGAGCAAGCTCTTTGTAAGAATTGTTTTATCCGGCTGTACTGAGTGGATCCACGCCAGGTCCTTTGAGACACCTGTTGTTTTTATCTGGGTTACAAGGCTGTTATCACATATTTTTATGCCTCTGTGATGGCAACGGTTGTGGCTGGAGACAGAATGCTTCTCAGTTGCCCCTACTTCTATGAGTCAGCCTGTTTGTCCGCCGCTCCCATTTTGAACTTGATATCTCTCGATCACCTCGAGGGAATTCTTTCAAATCGTACCATTCACTGTGACCTTGGCCATAACGCTGAATATGTCTAAATTAGACACAACTGCATAAAAAAATAATATGAAGTAATGATAAAGATGTTAAGTCTTAAAAAACTTAGCAGAAGAATGCAACTGTAGGATGGTAGATCTGAGATATTTTTATATTTCGTCTAATTTATTTGCACATTTTTCATCTCATCAGACGTCAGAGCTTGGAGTGACAGAACATGTGGAGGGAGATCCTTGCAAGTTTGCCCTCTGGTTGGGGAGGACCCCAACCTCAGACAACAAGATTGTTCTGAAGGTATGAAGATGTTGACTTCGATGGGTTATGGAAAGAGTCATTGCATTCATATTTATTTTAACAGTATTTTAAGATTAACCAACAGATTTACTGAAAGCCTTGAATATTATAACAGATCTGATGTAATCATTTTAGAAGTAATCCTCTTGCAAAAAAGCTTTTCTAGCATTGTTACTATAAAGTTGTGTGAAGAAAGTTTTCATAGGGCTCTATATACAGTACAGTGAAAAACTAAGTACACCCTTACTGCTTCCATGGGAAATAAGAGAGTAAAAAGCAGCCAAGTGCTGCTAATCACAAGTACTTGATTAAATGACCAGTGAATGTGAGCACTTCCATAAAACCAGCTGTTTGAGTGTTGAAGTGTGTGTTAATGCAATCTTCCCAAGAGTGTGGCTATCCCAGCAAATTCAAACTAAGGTCAGATTATGCTCAAACTTAAAGTTCAACTGGAAAATAGCTGAACAAGTGTGGCTTGTGCTGAAGCATTGCCAGGAGAAAACCTCTTCTCTCTAAAAAGAGCATGGCTGCAGAGCTTAGGTTTGCAAAATTTGCATCTGAACAAACTACAAGACGTCTGGAACAACGTCCTTTGAAAATGGAATGAATCAAGGTGTTTCAGTGGCTCAGTCAAAGTCCAGATGCCAAACTAACTGAAATGCCGTGGCAAGACCTTAGGAGAGCTATACATAAACACATAAACCTCAATGAAGTGAAGCTACATTGTAAAAAAGACTGGGGCAGATTTCCTCCGCAATTATGTGTGAGACTGAAGAAGTCAAACAGTTCAAGTTATTGGTGTTAAAAGTGGTTCTACAAGCCGCTGAATCTTGGGTGTGCTGTGTTTCTCAGAGGAATGCATAAAGTCCTGTGAAAACGCTCTTTTTCATATGGACGTACTTCTCATATGATCACAGGAAGTGGTAAGGTTTTTGATACATGAAGAAGTGTTACTTCATGTCTATAGTTCATCCTCACTAAATCCTCCCTGGCTCCTTTTGTTCAGCCAACAAAGTTCAGTCCCTTTAAGGGGGTGGAGTGTTACTTTCTGCTGCTTCTTCACTCATCACATTAGCATAGCAGTTGATGGGTCATAATCCAAACCTCACAAGCGACTTGGTAATTCTCACGCAGTGAGTCAGAAGCAATGTTTTATGCATGCTGTGTGTGTGTAGATATGCGTTTGCTTTTTGAGACTGACACAGAGAAAGGCTCCCGGGGTGTGTTACGATTTGGCAATGTGTGCTGTACAGCTTTCTGTCTTATTACATAACTTCTGATGATCATCTTAAACTGTATCTTATATAACTCGGCTCCATGGAAGTCATGGTCCTGGTTGCTAAGTGAAAAAGGAAGGGAAGACTCAAATGAGGGTGGTTATAGGATGAAAGCTGCATCTACACATTGAATCTGTGACGTAAATAAACACAGTAATAGACCGTGGTTGCTTTTTGGGGCTCTGAGTGAATATGTGCTCATCATATAGACATGTGAATCAAGTTAAAGACTGCAGGGCTTAAGCACACTGTGGGAAGAGAGAGAATTAAAATAACTAAATTAGGCCTTATTTGTAGACCTGTGTTTTTCTTGCTATTAATGCTGTCATTGTATTTAAAAAAGAGTTATCTGTTATGCACCAGGCTTCAAGTATTGAGAATAAGCAGGACTGGATCAAACACATTCGGGAAGTCATACAGGAGCGAACAATCCACCTGCGTGGAGCTCTGAAGGAACCCATCCACATCCCTAAAGCCACCACAACTAAACACAAAGGCAGAAGGTGAGCTAAAAGTAGATTACTGTCAGGCAAAAAAAAGAAAAGAAATCAGTTTCATGATAATGCCTAGAAGCATTTCAGCCGAACAAAACTATATGGCGTGAAGATAGCCCTATAGGGTAAATGTCATGTTTATTGGTCATAGTAATTATGGGTCTGCTGTAATGATGCCTGCCTGCAGGGATGGAGAGGAGCTGGACAGCCAGGGAGACGCCAGCAGCCAACCTGATACCATCTCTATTGCCTCACGTACGTCCCAGAACACACTGGACAGCGATAAGGTAAAAACACAACTCACGCGGACGTTCGTCATAACCAGTATGTAAGGGAAGCACTTTAGCCACATTAAAAATAGTCAAGTTTTCAGTGCTATTTATTTCTTTTTTTTGTTTTTATTTTGTCCTGTCTTACTGTGCAGTTCATGCAGTCACATTGCAGCTCTGCTGTCGATTAATGCTGTCACTCAGTAATACGATTGTAAAAAAAAAAAAACACAAAACAAATGTGCAAAATGCTTAGATGCAGTCGACTGTCCTCAAGTCGTTTCCTGTGAAATTGTTTGATTGTGTTAGGAGGAAGAAACAGCCCGACTCTCAGAGCTTTAAAGCGGCATGTGTGTGTTTGTTTTTTCGTGTGTATTTGCGCTTGTGGCTGTGGTTATATCTGGTAATAGCACCACAGAAGGCTTGTCCTCCTACGCTCAGTATGATCAACTGTAAAGCTAAAAAACATGCAGCACACACACACACACAGATAAAATAGCCTCCCCGTACGTTTATCTCATACTAATTATAAACTGATCACTGGACTCCTGCATCGGTTCCTTATTTTCACGCTTGAGTTGCAGTCGTTTCACATGACCCAAATGTGAAATTTTAATGGTCGAGGGGGTGAGGAGCATCCGCTGAAGTCTAAACTATCACAGACACTGATTAATTAGTCACAGTGCCTCAGTTTAGGCAGCAGTCACATGCATACACATTTGAAACACAGTAACACCTGCAAATTCAAATTAGCATCTCATTCTCACTTTTTGAATGCATCTCTTTATCTCTCGCTTTGTGCGGACTCCATGAGACGTTTCATTCAAGGGGAAGTGACAGTGGCGTGTTTGTGTTGCCGTGTGTGTGCGCGCTCGTGTTCCTGTGTGCTTTTCAGCTTTAGTGACTGACTTGTTGTGTGTCAGCAGCTTCAGCCTCCCACGCTCACTTCACAGAGGATGCTCGTCTGTATGCCAGACAGGAGAGCACAGTTTTAAGTCCTCACAGCTATCGATCTTACTCTTTGCTTCAAAATACAGGCTACCAGAATGTTTTTACCGCTAATTTTCCCGGTGTGTGTGTTTTGTTTTTCTTGATGAAAGGTTCAGTGTGAAAGTAATTGTTAAAAGACACGGGTGGATTAATTGCGCCGCTTCTGGAAAGTGACACAAGAGAAGGAATCATTTAATCTTCAATAGTCTGATTGTAAGGACCCACAGAGGAGTGTAATTACAGTGGACAGCAGGAAGTTTTCTACTGGCTTTGGAATGTTGGGATCAGGAATTTTAATACTAATTGAAAATGAATGATTATTCCTCTTTTTTAACTTCTACTTACCTGCTTCCCTGCATTCCCTTAGTGTGATTCGAACTTTAGTGGACTGAGACACAGATAACTCTGCTCTGTAGAGTTTTTCTATCTTTTTTTGGAACTTTTCTTGCAATGAGGGAGTGGAAAACGATGGACAGGTTTGGAGACAGGAGCTCACATCCCATTTCTCAGCTCCTAAGCTCTCTGGCTTTGCCCCACTACCAAAGGGTATGTTTCAGATAATCTGCTTTGCTTTGCCGTGACAATTAATGCAGTGCAGTGTGCTGTGAATAAAATATTGAGCAATAATATATGCTTTGAAAGACTCAAATGGAAGCGCACACAAGCAGTTAGAGCAGTGGTAAGGATCGGAAAACATGGGACGTTTTTACAGTATTTACAGAGTTTTACAGAGTATTTACACTGCAGAGTGTGTAGCTAATGACTGCTGCATGGCTTCACTCCATTTCCAAGACTGTTCATCTGTTGCTAATAATTTTTATGTTTAACATAAATAAACACAAGTTTTCCTTCTTGAAAACGTGTCATTCAAAGATGACAATTATACTCCCAGTGATTACTGAACTACAGCATTAAAAACAGAGAATGTCCATTGCAACAATTATAGTATTAATATATTAAATGTTTTCAGGTCCGTATTTCCCAGAATTGTAATTGCATAAAACATTTTAAATGTTCTATCTTTTCTGCTCTTGTGTTTGCAGAATAGCCACATTTGCTCACCCTCTGTGCCTCCACAACAGATCAAAGCATCATTAGCGACTAGCAGCTGCTTTTTCACTCACATGTTAAAAGGACAAACCTTTTAAAATAACCAGTGAGAAAAATGACTCGCTCCACCTCTACCTAAAATTGCCTTTCCTTTCATAGACGATCACGTCGTCAGAATGACGTTTTATTCGGTTGAGCTTGGATGAGTCACCGGTTCATTCTTACACTGTACAGAGCTTCTTGAGTCCCTGTGCTGTTAGCACATGATATTGTGTGGGCACATCTGCTTTACAGTTATTAATTAATTGCCAGGGAAAGTTTTATTGCAGGGTTATTATTTAACATCGAGCAAGTGTTGGTGATAAGATTAATAAAATGCAGAAAACTACTCAGAAATGTTTATGTATATTCTAAGGGAACACAATGAGGCAATAATGGATTGTTTGGAAATTTTTCTACACACTAGCCTAACACCTATTAATATGGAGGTTATCCTCTTGAAAAAACATTCAGAGTACTGTTGTTTCCCTTCCAGCTCTCTGGTGGCTGTGAACTCACAGTGGTCATACACGACTTTGTGGCCAGTAACGGCGGAAGCAACGGGGAGCTGACAGTCCGCCGCGGCCAGACTGTTGAGGTTTTGGAGCGACTGCACGACAAGCCGGACTGGTGCTTGGTCCGGACCACGGATCGCTCGCCAGCCCAGGAGGGCATTGTGCCCTGCTCCATGCTCTGCATCGCTCACTCCAGGTCCTCCATGGAGATGGAGGGCCTCTTCAACCACAAAGGTAGGAGGAGAATAATTTCTTGGCTTATTACAGGTGCACTGAATGATGTTTTTTGATGTTTGTTTTTTCACGAAGCACATCTGAACACTTAAAAACAGCTGCTCGTTGCATACATGCACGAGCATGGACATATCGGATTCGGTTCCTGTTTGCAAATACAACATCGATGACCCGTAGAGCCTTCACTTTCCATTAAACAGCTGCTTCGGGGAACACAGACATGTATTTCTAGGTGTTGCTATGCAACTGTGGAAGGCCCACTTGAAGCACAGCAGTTTTTTTTTCATTAGACTCTTTTTTTAAACTTTTTTCATTAACAATTTTACCATTGACAGATGTTATTACTGTCAGAAAACCTGATTTTGTCCTTGTGTTGGTGCCTTTGCTCTTATACCTGACATATTTTGGCAGAAAAAAACACATTTCAAATGGATTTTCTCAATCTGTATGTATTAACACCAAAGCCCTTCTCAAACTAAGTCTAGTCATTCAGCACTCGCCATGTAAGACTTCCAGGAACTTATTTGGGTTGTTATTTGAAGCATTATCTAACACGTGAAGTTGGGCAAAGGACATAAAAACTCGAAGTCTCAACACTGATGAGGGATTGTGGCCGGGATTGTGCAGGCACACAGAGAAGGAGGTACTTCCTCTGAAGGTATTAGATCCAAAAATACACCTATAGCCAGATGGTTCTAAAATAAAATATTTTTTTCCTGAAGTAGGGGCTTGTAGGTCTGCAGCAAAAAATGACACACACAATGAATCCCACTATCCTTACAAGTTATTAATATTTAATTATACTTGTAGCACCAAAAAAGAAGTGCTCATCAATTGGAGTGGCCCTACTCTTACCTTAGCATAAATTACATTTTGCTGTTGGCAAAAGTGGCACTAATTCAGAGTTTTCGATACTACCATATAGCCTAAAGGAAAGCAGAACATATTCCTCAGAACTGTACTGTAGCACATAATTTTGCTTAAGGACTTTCCACCAATGCTAATGCTGCATTGCTGTAAAACATGCATGCTTTTAGTTTAATTAGTCACACAGTGACTTGTAGCTGGCTTAGCTAGATGCTTTATATTCATTTTTTTTCTTATGTGAATATATCATAGGGTTGTTTAGTTATTGCTGTGAACTGTTGTTCTATTGACCAAAACACTCATAATCCAAGCTGTGATCAAATTTCACGTAGCCAGTTGGAGTTATGAGCTGCTGTCATCATGTCTTGAGAGAAGTTTCTGCTTGTGCCTTTCTCTTTTTAATCTGGAAGAGTGGGTGAGAGGTGGACTGCTTGTTTCTATGGTGATATAGCATACAAATATTTTGCTGGCAGCGTCTTTGTAGTCAGTACGAGAAAGGTCTGCATTTAAAATAAAGAATGCTTGGATGGTGAATACAGGAACTAACAATTTTGGCATTAGCTGAATGATTTACTAGACCGCCACGAGAAGAAAGCTACAATTTTCCAACCAATTATTTTACGCTTTCAACTCCAGCTCTTTGTTTGTCATCCTTACTTCGTTTACTGGGACTCGTGTTTCTTGTCCGTTTGTCACTGTGTGTTTGTGCGGTCAGAGGGGGTGATGAAAAGGAGCCTTTCTCTGCAGGGGTTACTCTCGTCAGAAAGGCTGCTGCTCAAGAGGAGGGAGACAAGGATGACAAAAAAGGGGGAAAAAAGCTTTTTGTGCAGTTTTTGTCAGCCTTTTTTTATTTACAGACCAACCGTGGATGCCGCTTTGTCCAAAGTGGTGGAAGGGTGAAAGTTTAGGGGATTAGGGTGGTCGTCCAGGAAATCTCCCATTTTTCTTGTCATGTCTCACAATCATAGACTGTACGTTAAAGGTAAAAATGTGTATAGATATTCACCCTGACATTTCATCCAGTGTTCTTTGGAGGCATTTTATTTAATCATCAGCTTATGCTCGTCGAAACCTTGAGTTTTCAAGACTATTTTGAGCAGGAATGTCAAACACATTTTACATCGTGGGCCTCCTACACTCCACTTTGAGCTTAAGTAAAAAGTCAAAGAAGCATAACTCTCTGTTAAAACTTTAATTTAGAAATTAAAAAAAGAAATCCGTCAACATGACTCTTTGGGTCTTAAGTGTGTAAAATTTCTGGTAGCACATTGAAATCCTAAAATTTCTATAGTATATATTGAAAAAATGGAACATTTTCAGTCATTTAATTGCTTTTCTATTACGTAATGACTTCGGTGTACTATGAATGATGGTGGGAGAGGTGTTTGCTTGTAGTAAAAGTCCAAAATCTGTGTCCTCCTTCACACTTTTCAAAGCCGGTTACGGGGCCAGAATAGAGTCTTTGCAAGGCCGATTTTGGCCCTCAGGCTTTGGGGTTATTTTTGACACTCCTGATTCAGTCTTTTTAAGGTTTCAGTTAATTCTAGCAAGGTAGTAAGCCATATCATTTTTCAGGAAAAATGCCATTATAAATCCTCCAAAAGAAACAAACAGTTCAGTGACAAAAATAAACTGAGGTGAAGCCTCGCAGACAACCAGTGACTACAGCTGCAATTTCTCACCACTAAGAATTCCTGGCAGTTTGAGGCATCTGAGGGGACAGAGTACCATAGAAGGCTTCACATGCAGATGAATTAAGCCACAAAATGTACACTTGGCAGTTTCAGTTATTCAGATTTATGATATGTTTCTTTTGTTTTTCCTGGCTCTGATCCAATTGCTGACAGTTGCACAAGCCTGCGCGTCCCTGCTATGTAATATCACAGATTTGTCAGACATGCAGGTGGACTGCACTGCCCCTCGCGATGGAATAAATACAAAAGTACCCACTTAATGAAACTTAATTTGATTGAATAAGCACTCGGAGTGCCTGTGTATGCCTGTGTGTGCCTGTGTGTGCCCTAACAGCAGAGAGTGTGTTTAAAGCCCAAAGAGATACACATAAACACACACTCATAAACAGGCAGGTCTTTGTGCGACTAGCTTGCATAACTGCTCAAGGCTGCACAGAGCACAGTTTCAGATGAAGACGCTCCAAAAACAGAGTTATGTGTTGGATAAATAGTCAGTAGTGCCATTCAGAAACTAAATAAATGTAAAAAGAAAATCTGAAATGTGCGCGCAACACTTTTGATGAACAACTTAATAGAAAATATATTCCTTTTTTAAACCAAGCTTTATGCTGTTCATTTGTGTTCGATTTTATAACCAAATCTATATTTGTTCCAAGCATACTGCACAAGTTGTATGCGACCTAATGCCTGTAAAATATGCACCCGCCCACACAAACTGAGTGGGTGCTTCTACAAAGGGTAATACGGTAGAAATGCTGCCTGTTTCCAGACGTCCCCTTGGAACGAGAGAGGCACAGTGGAGGTTTGCCCAATATCCTCACAGCAGCCCACTCGTGAGGGAGGGAGAGAGGGAGGGATGGAGATACAAAGAAAGAGAGAGAAAACATCCTACTCTCTAATGCTGCATTTGACTTTTGCTTTTCTCTCACACTGGACTTCACACTTTCCCTGGAATTTCAGCGACGTAGTTACTGCAGGTTTATTGTTATTTATAAAGATTCTGGGATTTTTTCAAAGGATCTTAAAGCCATTTGGCATACCTTTGGAGATGCTCTAAGGAAATATTTCAAGTCAGAGTTTTATATTCCACTAGCATGGCCCGTGGAATTGAATCTTTAGTGTCTTTGAACCCTTTTTACTCTGTGGATTCGGCGCAGGGAGAACACTCTGACAACTGCAAGTTCTGGCTGTTGGATCTGGGTAGGTGCCATGTGTAGGACAAAAGTAAATTGCTTCCTCTTATCCTGTTAATGCTAGATTTGCTTCTTATGCAGTGTGCTTGGGAAAACACAAATGATAAGTTGCGCTAAGTTGTTCTGGTTTAGCGGCTTGCTGCTATTGTTTGTTCCTCTGGTGAAAATGTAACGAAAGCATAACATTAGGATCTCAATTAGACTATGCTTCTGGTCTTATGACATTAAAACAAGTCTTTTTTTGCTCTAAAGTGCGACATTGAAGCTCCAGCTGTGCAAGAAACAACTGCAACTCTACATTTGTCGTTTTGACAGCTTGTCCTTATTTGCTGGGTTTGCATCAGCTATTTTTGTACGGGCTTTGTGCTGCAATTTCACAGTTCATCTGTCGATCATGTGGTGGCATTATAGCTGCAAAAGTAATTTGGTGAATGCATCGTTACATAATGAAATATTAAAATTCACTAAAATCACCAGGATAAGATTATGTCTTCGTTCCTGTTGAAATCCAGGTTGGGCTCACAGATGGACAGAGGGTGTTGTTGAGGTCAAACTGACGAGAAGGGGAGAATGAGGACTCTTAAACAATGGAATCCCTTTCCTTTTTAATGTTTTCACAGGTGTCTGCTAGATACAGTGTGATAAACCATTACAAATCACCCAAATATGCACTAGTTCTGCCAGAATGTGCACTGGGTGGTCTCTCATCCCATTACCACTCCCTTCCCTAAATGTGGCTGTTGGTGGCAAGCCCTCTCTAGCGTTGTACACATTTTTTCAGATCATCTACCAAAATCCCCTGGAGCTCTCCCCACACGCTGCACCTCCGCCCCTAAAAGCACGTTCCCAGCCACACCAACTGATGTTTATGGCTTTGTGTGTTTGTTTTGGTTCTTCTTGGCAAGATTAGGGCACATGAAAGATGCTCCCCTGGTGACACCTCTGGAATCCCAGGCATGCTTCTGTTGAACAGCGCTTTTTTGGATCACTGCAGTTGTACAAAAGCCCCTCCACCTAACCCACTTTTATTCTTAGAGACACAAGAACACACATAAAGTTGTAAATCTAGCATGTTCTTTGCAGCAGCGTAAAGGAGCATCGACTGAGTTGTCACATTGTGTCGGAAGCTTGCTGATAAATCACATAATGCTTAAGTAGTATTAGAACATCTGGTGGGTTCTTCTGAAGGACATTAGCCCACAAAGTTAAAGTGAATAGGAGTATTGAGAAGTCTATCACAAGTACT